AAACATGCGAGAATTGTACACACACAACTACATATATATTGGCAATGGAAACAAACCATAAATCATTTGATTAAAACGCAGCACTCTCCCTCTGTTGCCAAATATTGTGCGAAAAAAACCAAAATAAAATAAATAAATATAAAAGCGGCAATGCGCGTACCGAAAGGTGGCGTGATCACTAAAAATAAAACAGTAAAAGAGCCGGCAAGCGAAATACCCAACTAAAGGCGAACGAACATACGATAAAAAGCAAAAGTTATAACTTAAAAGCAAGAAGATGGCAGACAAAGGAGCACATTGCGAAATGAGTTAAGAATGCAGAGATATGGAAATCGGTTTCAGAAACAGCCAAGCAAAACAAACGAACCGAAACGAAAAATAAAAACGAAAGTAATTAACTCGTTTTGTCTTGCTGGTGATTAATCTAACAATAAATCATTGCGGATTTGAGACTAATATGCTGCAAAAACAAAAGAAACAGAAGTAAAGGGTATGCAAACAACCGTTAGATGGGCGCCAAACAGCTGTCAAAAGCAGATGGGCGAAAAAAACATAACGCCGAGTGCCAAACGACAAGCGCAAAGCAGACGACATAAACAACAAACACACACAAAAAGCAACGGGTTCAAACAACTGCGACACCCCAAAGCTCAAGGTCATCGAAGCGATAATATCGTATAATCTATGCACACCTATATTGCACATAGAGCGTGGGAAAGGGAGAGCGCAACAACTGGACTTTGTGTTGCTTTCTCTATCTTTATTGTAATTCTTGCTTTTAATTCCCAACTAATATTTTGTTCAATTTAATTCCAATCGTTGAGTACGATCCGGTTTAAGACTCCTCCCCAACCGACAAGGCAGACATTGGGAAATACGTATGTAGTATTATTATTAAATGTATACACAAGTAAAACAGGCACACTAGCGATGAGTTGTTTATTAATGTTTATTAATAAAATACTCGGAGAAAAAAAGCACAAATACGGTGAAAATACTAGGAGCGAGGTTACTGCAATTGTTTTTAAAATTATATATAACATATCATTAAAATGTAAATTTGTATTTTATCTTTGTAAATAAAATATCTTGATCAAGGTATATGAATTGAATCTTGAATAATATTTAAGATAAAATATTCAGAAACATAAATTAAACATTTTTAAAAGCTTTTAAAATAGTTAATAAAAAAGTAAGATATTATTATTAAAACTTTATATTTTCTATCATAGTGTCACTACTATTTTCAACCCCATTATGTCAAGAAAGTAAAGGAGATGCACGACTGCGTGGGATGAAAAGTTCAGATAGCAAAACAAACTGGTGAGAACAAACCGCAACCGACCGGCCGGTACTGCATCTGACCATTAACGCCATTCAAAAGGCTACTGCACTCTCCCGGATCCCCTGAATAGAGATTCACTATGACAAGTACAATATATATAGATTTAAGTACTATATAGTAGATGCCTTGAACATGAGGCAATTCCGCGGAACAATCGCCCAATTCACCGGCATTTTGCGCAGTTGCGTGTTACGGCCTTCGCTGTGAATTAGCGTAATAAAACGTAAAAAAAAGCGAATAAAATATCGGGCTCAGCGATTTGTAAATTTTAAAAAACAGTGTCGTCGCCCACCCAAAACAAAAACTCTTTCGGAATGAGAGCTGTAAAGAGTGAATACTCGTTATAAGAACTTTTTGAAAGCAGAAATGCAAGAACCTAATTTTATTAGAATTTTAAATTAAAAAGGGATCTTAATAGTCTTAAAATTATAATAATTATATATCAGAGGTTCATAATAGATTGAGGAAATAATAGTCATGAGTTTCTTATGCTTAAACAGTGATGGGAAAAGAAAGCATTACGTGAAATTTAATTGAAATCAAACTTTGTTTCTCAGAAATATTTTTAAATAATATCTCTAACAACTCCCTTCCCAATTTTGTCCTCTTTATAGAGGTAGTCCCGTATTTGGCTTTAAAGAGCGACTGACTGACTCATTGGACAACCATCAGCTGAGCCAAAACAACAAAAAACAGCGCTCACACTCACACTCACAAGCTGTTGCTGCTGATATTTGTTTGCAAACAAAAGAAGCGCTAAAAATTCAATTATCTTTGAGGAGAGAGGAGGGAACGGGAGGGAGCTGGCAACAGATATTTAGATGAAGAGAAGTCAAATTGGATTTCGAGCAGCTTTTTTTTGATAAAGACAATTGCCAGATAGCAGCTGGAATTAAGGTGAGTTTTCTTGCGGTGTCTCCTCTGGCGCTGTGTGTGGGTTTTGCGCGGCTGCCTTACATCGGATGTTGGTATTAGGTCATCGGAATTGAAAAATATGACTAGTGTGCGCCGCGGTGATTACGTGTGTGTGTATGTGTGTGTTTGTCACTTGATTTGGGCCAGAAAATGCCTCCTCTCCGAGTGAATCACAATCCCATCCGGCGCCGTCAGCTGCAGTTATGCAAATCACATTGCGGCAAGCTAATGCATGAGAGAGGATTTAAAATATGGCCAAGGAGGGGTTATGAGATGGGGCTAAAAGCTAGCTAGGTAAGTGTGACCCCCAACCCACTATTAAATGATGCAAAACATTTTAAATTTAACGAAACTAACGATGCGTCAGGCAGTCATTTCAAAATTTAACGCTAGAAAGAGCGTGAGGCATGGAAAATTCCACCATTTATTCTTGCCAACTGATAAGCTCTCTCTGCACATAATTCAAGTTGTCTAAATTTAATTATTATGATGAAATCGCAAGTACAACAAAGTAGTGGGGACAATCGGAGGCAAGTGCCAAATTCGATTAGCTGCCAAATGAGGCGAAAAATAACATTAGAAACACAAACAAATCATTACAAATTTCACGGATAAAGTGTTTACTCGATAAAACAAATAAATATTAATGCACAAGGTTAGTTCCAAGGTTTTCAGATTATTGTAAACAAAAATATAATATTAAACAGCAGATTTTCTAGTTATTTTATCAATGTATTTTTACTAAATTTAAAAATAAAATCGTTAAGAAATTGTTATTAATTCCGTTATTTGTGCAACCGGTGATTACATTTTTCCACCAAAATCCTTGCCAGGTAAATGTATTACTATTTCAGCACCCACAAAATGAAACAATATTCCTTTGTTTTCATTTTACCTGGAGGAAACCCAGATTCCCTTCTTCCCAGAGTAAAATCCAGATTTCCACAGCGTCACAAACACACACACACCAGTATGTACAGTGGCTCAAAGCTTATTTCAACCAGACCCAATCAAAAACTTTAAATGCCTGTAAAACATAAACCAAAGGCTTTTTCCAAAAAATTTAAACGCACAATGTTAGATTTGTGTTCAAACATAATATTTAATAACTTAATGTATTTTTATTTATTTTTTTAATATTTATTTTTTAATTAATAACAAAAAACGACGAAAAATAAGGCCACAGCTTATTTCAACCAAAAAGTTTGCAGTTTTGCTATGCACCGTTATTTAGAAAATTAGGTGTTCTAAATTTTTCTGTGCTTTGGTCAGTCTATTCGGAGTTGGTTCAAGCTTATTCTTGGAAAATTTGGCAAGAATTTAGTGCGCGAAAATTCTGTAAGAAAAATGGGACCACGTACTACAATCGAACAGCGAGAACTCGTTATTAAACATTTCAAAAATGGAAACTCGCGTCGGAAAATTGCCGAAATGGTTGGTCTAAGTGATTCCACTGTCCAGAGCATCATATACCGCTTTGTCCGTGAGAATAGGGTGCACGATAAGGGAAGAACGGCGCCCAACAAAATTTTTAATCCAACAGATGAGCGCCATATCGTCCGGAAAATTCGGGAAAATCCCAAATTATCGGCACCGAAGATTGCAAGTGAGGTGGAGACCGAGTTGGGCAAGTCCTGCCACCCAGAAACAATTCGTCGTGTGCTCCGAGAGCATGACTAAATGGCAGAATAGCACGGAAGAAGCCGATCATTAGTGCCAAGAATATCAAGAGACGCTTAAATTTTGCAAAAGATCACTTAGGAAAGGATTCTTCATTCTGGAATACAGTCATATTTGCGGACGAGTCAAAGTTCAATATATTTGGCTCAGATGGTGCATCCTATCTGTGGCGAAAGCCGAATACTGAGCTGCAAACAAATAATCTAAAAGCGACAGTTAAGCATGGCGGGGGAAGCGTTATGGTATGGGCCTGTATGTCGGCAGCAGGTGTTGGAAATCTCGAGTTTATTGATACCACAATGGAAAAAACTCAATATCTTGAGATTAAAAAAAAAAATTCATCGAAAGCGCCGAGAGACTTGGTATTCGGGAAGATTTTCGTTTCTACCAAGACGACGATCCGAAACATAAGTCGGGCATTGTTCAGGCTTGGCCTTACTGGAACTGCCCGCACGTTATGCAGCCGCCAGTACAGTCGCCCGACATGAATGTGATTGAAAATTTGTGGGCAATTTTGGACACAAATATTCGAAAACGAAAGATTTCGAATAAATCGGACCTGAAAGAGGCGTTGATGGAGGAGTGGGCAAAAATAGCCCAAGAAACAACCCAAAAGTTGGTGGATTCCATGCCAAAAAGGCTTATAATGGTTATGGATAGCAAAGGTTGCATTACCAAATATTAAAACAAGTTTTGGTTATCTTTAAGCATTAAAAATATATAGAAGTACCGACCTGGTTGAAATAAGCTGTGGCCTTATTTTTCGTTGTTTTTTGTTATTAATTAAAAAATAAATATTAAAAAAATAAAAAAAAATACATGAAGTTATTAAATATTATGTTTGAACACAAATCTAACATTGTGCGTTTAAATTTTTTGGAAAAAGCCTTTGGTTTATGTTTTACAGGCATTTAAAGTTTTTGGTTGGGTCTGGTTGAAATAAGCTGTGAGCCACTGTACACAGCACGCACACGTGCACACGCCCGTTCCGGTGCGAAGGAGTCGGGCGAAGTTTGGGGGGGTAAAAGAACAAGGGATTCCTTGAAATAGCTTAACTTACCAAATCCACGGAGAGCCCCACCATGTCTGCCAGCCAGGTGAATGTCCGGCTGCCGCCGTACATATCATTCTCGATGAATTTCGGCGGTTCTAGCATCTTGCCTGCGGTGTCTTTTTCCGTTCTTTTGCTACTGCGTTGCTTTTGTTGTTGCGCTGTTGCTCTTTTTATTTAGCGCTTCATTGGAGAAACTTCGCGGCTCACGGTCACTACTATTTCTGGATCGCCGCCGATCGAGGTTCCGCTGGGTGGGCGGAGGGGCGCGCGCGCGGGCGTTCACTTGTAATTTTTAATTTTATTAATTTTGGTTTTGTCGCCCGTCTCGCTCGCGTGCTGTCATAAAACTAGTGGTGGGCCGAGGTGCAGAAAACATCGATGGAAATATCGATGGCAAGGCAGTTTCGATAATTTACACCAATCAATTGTTATCGATGTAGAAGACTATCGATGTTTTAGCAGGTATCGAATATCGAATACCAACTGCCATCTCTATCCGCGCACCTCAGCGAACTTCTGCTTTTCTGGAATTATTATCAAATAACTCAAATTGCAAAATGTTGGGCCGCAGCAGTGTGATTGCACGCAACTTCTCCCAGTCGATGGTCCGCTTCAGCGGCCATGGCGGCGTTCCCGGCGAGGTGAGTGGGCTGAAACCTTGGTTTTCCATGGGTTACATAATGCCCGTGACCACATAATCCTGGCGGAAAATCAATCAACTGAGTGAAAATCCTTGTTTTCCTTGCAGAACCTGCCCTTTGGCCTGACCAACAAGTACAGGATCACCGCCCTGTTCACCGTTGGCTGCATGTTGGGCTTCGGAGCGCCCTTCCTGATCGTGAGGCACCAGCTGCTCAAGAAGTAAGGCGGCGGAGAGCAACAGCAACAACAAATGTAAGGTTAGTTGTACGAAATTTCCCTTAAATGACTTTAGATAAACTATATTTTCTTCTTTTTAGATGTAGCTTTGCCTGCGGAGGCCATGGCAGTGTGTTACAGCTTAAATTTAAGTGAAAAGTGGAAACGAAATAAAGTTACCCCGTAACCGTAGAACCCAAAGGATAGGGTATATTTTCTTGGCCTGGGATGTGGAGGAGGTGTTGGTAAGGTGAAGCAGATGAATGGGAAACTGTCATGCAAGGGATATAACAACATTCTTTGTGGGTATTTTAAAGTAAGCTTATAAAAACGAAGCCTCAACACCCTAAGGAAGACGAAAAGATGATTTTAGAGCTTTATTTAGCCCATCTTGCTGTACTTAATGGCGTAAGCTAGGGTTGGTTTATGATGACCATGATTTAGCTTTAATATTAACAGTAGGCTCTGTATTTAGCAACGTCCTACAGGTTGTCAAAAATCAAGCTAGAATCGTCACGGACTCTATTTTTCCAGCTAGTAACTGAAAATTCCATTTTCAAATATCAATTATTACAAATTCCATAATGTGGCCTGCACTGCGCCATCCCATTCGTAAAGTCTCCGGACCACTAGCTCGTCAAGGACATGGCTATGGAGGCGGTTGTCCTGGAAATGTAAGAACTTTTAGCTTAGCATAGAATTATGTTTATACTGCCTTTCGCCAGAATTTGCCTTTTGGCTTGGACAGTCCCATTCGCTTTACATTGTTCTACACAATTGCGGGAGTCTTGGGCTTTGGAGCTCCCTTTTTAGTGGTTCGCCACCAGATGCTGCGCAATGTGACCGATGATGAGCCGTGAGTGGTCCCAACTATACAATTTTAAGGTGATTCCATCCATTTTCCTTTACAGCAAACCACAGGAATGATCTTATAATAATTCAAATCATAAGAAACTTAAATAAAATGTTAAATGGAGGGCATTGCACATAAAATTTATTGTCGTAACTAATTGTTAACAATCGGCTTTTGTGGGTTTATCTTCTTTCAGATACTTTAGCTAAATGATTAGCTAATTATTCAGTACGACGATCAGCAAGGATCAAGGAAATTCGTTAATTAGACTAGGCTAAGCCTCTACACTTGACTACAGCTCCTCCTTGTCATCGAAGTTGTACTCCTCCTGGATGGGTGATTCGTTGCAGTATTTGGCCTGCTCGGAGCAGATCTTAATGTCCAAATCATTGCCCAGCTCTTCGGCCTGGAAAGCCTTAATAAAGGCCTCATCATTATCCTCCAGCACCTCGTTACAAAAGTGTCCCAGACTCTTGTTCAGATCGCCGTCCTGAACAAAGTCCACCAACGAGGAGTCTGGATTCATCTGGCCATTGACGATCATCTTGAGGAGCGTAAACTTGCCATTGCTCTTGTAGGTGGCCTTCAGGTAATCGTCCATTTTTTCACCTGAAAGGAAGATACGATTTTCAATAGGAAATTCAAGTAAGTCTTATCTTATATTCACAGCAATAAAGATAGGAGTTAAATTATAAATAAGTAGTAGGCATACTCACATATCTTCTCCATCAGTTCCGTGAGGAACATCTCCGACTTGATGAGACGCACCCGCTTGCTAATCGAGTTCCCCTGGGCATCCAGCCGGAAGCCACTCACATCGGCCATCTTATGGGGATCCTCCTTGGCTATCGCCTCCTCCAGTTCCGCCACCGTGGCCTTGCACACTGCAGGAGATGATTACCGTTAGCCAATAGGGCCAACAAGTGGAATAGCCGTCTGTTGCTGTTCGGAACTCCTCCACTTACCGTGACACTTTACCTCCCGCGAGGTGAAGCTGTAACCCTGGGCCAAGGCCAGCAGGCCGAAGAGGATTAGCGTCTTTGCCAGCATAACTTCTATTGATTAATTAACAAATCCAAACTTAACAATTGCAACCACGTCAGCAACACAGCGCGTTCGGTTTGAAAATGCGGCGTTGATAATGTCGTGAGTATTTACGGCGACTTAAGAGCGACGTGGTTTTTGTTGCTCCCCCCGATAAGTGTTATTCTGCTTAATTTATTCCGTCGACGGGGTGGTGGCGGGAGGGCGGTGGGTCGGGGTCAGTTGTTTTCACAGAAATCCACGAGAAATTTTAGTAAATAAATTCTATGAAACCTTAGCAAGTTGCTATCGGTCTATCGATAGGTGTGACCTTTGTGGGAGAAATATTTTTGAGGTGACCATCCTAAATTGTTTAAATTTTGATTTTGAATTATAGAACCGGGCTGGATTTTTAATATTGTCAAAAGAACAATTGTTAAATAAATTTTTATTAAAGAACTTTTTTTATAAGCTTAAAAAAATATATATAAATAATGATGAATATTATATAAATTGTTTTAAAGAATACAACAATTTTAAATGAAATTAATTATATTCATTTTGAAATATCCCTTAAATCCTCTATTTAATTTAAATAAAATTCTAGCTTTCCTTTCGATACCCCATAGATCGACATTTATCGGCGCTCAATGTTTGAAATTCAAATAGCAGCATCCCAACCAGAAGAAAGTAAATCTAGAAGAGTGTTTTGAGTGAAATTCGCACTATATTTTCAGCCGCCTTTCTCTGTGCTCTCGCTCAGCATCTGCCATTCCAGAGATAATGCCATATAGCTCGCTGATAAGCGAAGACTCAGTGCAAGTGGAGAATTGCTCGCGAGCGGTTCTCCTCGTTCTTTGCTCGCAATGTGAATGCAATCGAAGCGTGTAATTAACCGGCAAAACACTCGTAAATTGACACAAGCCCACAACTCGGTCGCGTTCGGCGATAATTTCCACATACTCTTATTAACCATTGTAATTGGCGTTAATTAAGTGTCTCGTGTATATATCTCGCACTCTCTGGCAGTGTATTTCCTTCTTCTTCCGTAGTGCCGATCGTTTCCAGACGTCTGTGTTTGCTCAGTTAATTGATAAGACCAAATTGTCAGTGCACTTTGCCATATTTATATAGGGAAAAAACTATTCAAATCGGAAATGCAGCGGAAATAGTTGTTGTACCTTTTTTTAGAGACCCCTCAGAGATAACAGATTATTCATTGAGCACATTATGAATGAGGCTTTACGGATTCCGGAATCTGGAAAAGATTCTGTGGAGATTTAGGTTAATTTTCATTTTATTTTCCAAAGATATTATTGTACAACTTTTAAAAAACACAGGACCTCCTTTTAATTGTTTATAACTTTTATAAAATACATAATTTTTAAGGTATTAGCATGTTTATCCTAAACATTTTCAAGGGTATATGTCCTATTTAATAGCATTTGCAGTGCCCTTTACGGCAGAGAGCGCTCCTTCCCTTTTTTCCACAAAAAGCAGAACACTGATCGATTGCGCAAGTAGCACGCTTTAGGCGTCTTTCCTGGGACAGCTCTCGGAAGGCACTCCCTGTATCCTGCACCTCTTCTAGGTTAAATCCTTGTGTATCTTCCTTGTGAAGTGGTTCCGCCTGAGACACATAAACCGCAGCCAGAACTAGAGCCAGGAAAAAGGTGATCTTCATGTTGGCAACTCGAACTTAACACTGTTCTGGTTGCTAGTAGTTACTGTCGTCTTTTATAGCTAAGCGATCGGCTACCGGTTTATGATAATCACTCTATATATGATATAACAGTTAGAGATATTCCTGCTTTGATATATTGTTTTATTGTCAAAGATTTACGGGAAATAAACTATGCAAAAGTCATTTCCGTTTAGTTCATAAATAGAAACTGACAGGTTGTTATGTGACTTTGTGGGAGAAAGATTTAAAGTTGTAGTTGGATTTTTAAATGTTATAGAAGCTTTTTCTTATTAGAGTTTCTTTGTGGCATTTTATCTTTAATTTTTTAAAAAGAAATTCAAACTTTGACAAATTAGATTTTTATAGGTATTTATTTATTTTTAACATTTAATTTTCCATCAAAATCATTAAGTTAGTTCCCTGCTTTGATCCCAATTAACGTCGGCACACGCAGACAGCCTTGTCATTGCAATATCCACCCTTGTTTCCTCGGGCCAGACAGTGGGCAGCGCAGGCGGTATGGTTCCAGTTCCATTTGGAAAGCAAATCGCAGGTGGCACGCTTCTGGCGACTGTGCTCTGCCACTCCCTGGTCGGCTTGCTCCTCTGTCGCCTGGTCAGGTTGCTCCACCGCCTCTGCCAGGAGATGTTCCGGTAGAGCCTCCTCCTTAACAGGCTGAGCCTGCACTAGGCAAGCCACAAATGCGAAGGCAAGAGCCAGGAACAAGATGATCTTCATGATGGGATCTCAGTGGGGATACTGTTGTGACTTTTGATAGCCTCGCTACGTTTATATAGCAATCTTGGTGGCAGATCGATTCCCCAAGGGACTCCCCAGTGTATGACTTATTTTGCCTTTTGTGGCTTCTTCAATATGCAGGAGCACGCACACGACTCGGGGATTTTATTTTAACCGAACGGAAGACAATGGGGAGAAACCCCCTACTAGGGTACTATTTCTTTTTTGACTTGAGATAACAGAGAAAATGTATATTTAAGAGCTATATTTGAAGAGCTCGGTTTCATTTTCCAGCCTGAGGGATCTTTAAATATACATAAATCTCGAATATTAATTAATTAAACCATTTTTTATTTTCCTTTTAATTTTTTTTTATTAATGCAAAAACAAAAAAAGGTTTTATATTTGCTTGCAGTTTTTATTTGCTCTTGGATTATTTAGAATTGAAGTTCATATAGACACTTTTGTTCATTTTGAACTCCAAATCAAGAGCGGCACACGCATACGCCCTTGTCAGTGCAATAACCGCCCTTCTTCAATAATGCAATACAGTGGGCAGCGCAGAGACTATGGTTATAGTTCAGCCCGGAGAGAAGATCGCAGGTAGCACGCTTTTGGCGGCTATGTGGTACCAAAGCTTGGTCGAGATTCCTGATCGTAACGGGCTGAGCCTGGACCAGGCAAGCCACCAAGGCGAGGGTAAAAGCCAGGAACAAGATTAACTTCATGCTGGAATGTCAGTGGGGATACTGTTGTGATTTGTGGTGGTTTCAGTGGGTTTATATACCATTAGCTGCTGGCCATTACCATTTTTTGTTAGTTATTTTAGAGAAGCCTGTTTCAAGAGCAATTTTACATTTTATTTTCCTTAAGATAAGGGAAAAATTAACATTTAAAACTGGTTTTTCTATAACTCCTGTCTAGAGCTTCAAATAGAACAATAGATTACGACAAAAATACAAAGCTTATAATAGAAAGCGAAGCAAAGGGTAGTTCAATAGTAATTAAAGAATATTTACAATATTTTATTTTAAGATTTAAAGTTAATAATGGAAAAGATGGAAATAAATTTAAAAAAAGCCCAAAAGTAAGCTTTAAAATCTTAAGCACAACAAAATAAATTAATATGAAATATTTTACAACAATATTTAAAATTGATTTTTAACCTATAATGATAATTTTGAATTTCTGCGAACCCTTGAGAAAAATATATATTATTTTATGTTATAAACAAAAACCTCAATTGCAAGGAGATTTTGTTATACAAATTTTAAACAAAGTATTATTAAATATTCCTTATTTTCATAATAATATCAATCTTATGTTTTATTATTTAAATAGTTACCAATGAATTTTATTTTTAAAAAGTTTTAAATATTTCTGTATATCCTGTGGATATTTAAACCCTTAACTCTAGCTTCCTTATACCTGAAGGAATATCTTGATCTTAAATTAATGAAAACCCTGCAAAAATCATATAAACAAACGAAAACAAAGCCGTATATTATTTATTGATGCTCGCAAAGTAATTAAAATTGGCTGATCTGATCAGATCCGGTAATCGTTTCGATTTCTTGCTAACTATTTAATTGTGCCAACAGTTGAAGAGCTGCGTACACACACACACTCTCAGAGATACTCGGTAACAGATACAGATAGCCAGATACAGATATGTACATAAACATACACCCAGGCGACAATAAATAATTTCCACCGAAAAGTCGCTTCATAAAGCCGGGCAAGTAAACAAACAAGAATCACACAATGATTAGTTGGACACACACACACACACACAGAGGGAGCCTCGGAGGCGGGTGTGCACTTGGTGTATCGTATCCCCCGGTATCTGTGCTGTATCTGCGTCAGCCGGCGTATCTATATCTATATATCTGTATCTGCATCTGGCTGCGGGCCCAGTTCAGCGCGCTGCAGCAATCCCGATCGGATCGGATCCCACGACCGAGGCTTTTCAGTTGCTCCTTCGCTAACCGCTGCCCGTTGCACGTTGCCTGTTTACCTTTGTTATCGACCAGGTCTTCGGTCTTGTCTTGCATTTTGGCGTCATACTGTCTGCCAGTCCACTCCACTTGAGGCCAGAGCCCCAACTCCTGGCACCGCTCGAGAGTGTTCTTCGGGTAACCATTTATACAGGGAGGAAAAATAAAAAAAAAAAGTATCTTCTTATATGATAAAGTTTGTAACAAAAATAAGGACTATTTTAGAAAATCAATCTATAATCTATAATCTATCTATCTATATAAAAAAAACCCAAGATAAATTTAGAAAAATTTATAAAAAAAACTCTAAAAAATCCCCAATCTCCCTAATTTTCTTCAGTGCCCCTCCCAATCGTTAAAGAACACCACAAAACAGAGTGTGGCACAGCCGAAAACAAAGCAGAACCAGGGGCGGTTGTTCAAGAGGTTGGAAGGGGGATCTTGCTGTAGGGTAACCAGGAGTGTGAAGAAGGGGGATCAGTGGCAGTTATCGCTGCCGTCAGACTGTCTGGCAGGTTTCACACCGAAAACATCGGAGGCAACCGGCAAGGCAAAGTCTCTGCCTGCGTCTTTCTCTCTCTCTCTCTCTCTCTCCAGGTGAACCTGGGATGCGGGACTCCTTGGCCGGTTGCGGCGGCTCTATAAATCACAGGAGCGAGCGGGGCCCGGGCCCTCGACGGCTCACGTTTTCCCCTGGTTTCCCTGGCTTCCCTGGTTTCTCGATCCCCGCTGGCTGAGCCACAGAGCAGCTGGTGCAACTGTTGGCCGCTTTGTTTTAGATGATTTTTGTTGCTTTTGTTGTTGGTGAGGCAACCTCTTGAGATGCACAAAGGAAGATAAATTTCACACGCACACACAAGTGCTCTTACACACTGTCTGCGATCGTTTTTCTGCTGCCTTACAGTGGGTAATCCTTAAGATGCATTTTTCTTGTAACTGAATTATGGGGAATACAATCCACTGCGACGTTCTCAGTGAAAAATAGTTGGTAGAGTAGAAAAGGATCTTAGGAAGAGGATGTTAATAAAGTATCTCAGGAATTAAAATAGATATTCAAGTACCTGACTCATGATTCTAGGTGTAAACCTATGTTATATTTAAAATAAGATTAATTGACAAAATAAAAAGCTTTTAATTGCTTGGGAACTACGAAAGAGCCCATTTAGGGTTTATTATAAATAATTCTAGAGAAGTTTAACCACTCTTTGCTAAAAAATAACAGAATAAATATAATACCTTAATATTTCTTTGATAAATTATGGTTAATCCCATTTTCCCCCACTTCATTTATACTTTTCTTCATATTCCTCTTTACGTAGTCTCCACTGTAGTGACTGTCCGGTCTCTCGGAGTCGGAGTCGCAAAGATAAGATATTGGAAGCGACCCGCCAGACACTCTGGCGACAGCGGGATCCCGCTTTCTCCGTCGCCGCCGCCGCCACCTGCCCTCCGATCCGATCCGACCGCTCTCCGAAAAGAGAGAAGAGAACCCCGATTCTCTCTCTACTTCGATCGTGAGCTCTCACGGCACGGTGGCACTCGTGGTTTGGGCCACTGCCACTCCACTCCACCATATCCAGATCCCAGGCGAGGCGCGGCAACCGCTGGGCGGCCAGTCGTGTGTGGAACTCGGCGTCGTTCGGTTGGATTTTTGCAGTTGGCTCCGGAGCTACATCGTACACCCAAAGTGATCCTCGCTTCTGCGCTTGCTCTTTTTCAAAACGAACCGAAAAAAAAACCAAAACGAAACTGCGGCAAAATCGCACACATAAAGACACAACACACAACACACATTATATAAACAGAAGATCTACCCAGAACACACCTTACCTTAATGCACACACACACCGCCTCACTATAAATAGCCCGCGGAAATCGGTAAATAAATAAAATCGGAAAATCTGAAAGCGGCAAAGTAAAAGTTCTACGAGGGAAATCTAATTGCGACTTTGCAAAAAAGTTTCTTAGTTGCTGCACAAAAATCGGATTATAATGAGAGAGACACAACGCAATTAACACACTCACCAGACACACCTTACTACAGTATCCACCTGAAAGAACAGTTAATTAACGAAATCGAACTGCAAAGTGAAATGCTGGCGAGATGCGTTTTCTTCGTCACCTGGCTGGCGGTCTTGATAGCGACTGGAAGGAGTGATGATGATCAGGCGGTAAGTTTTGGGTCTACTATAAAGATTAAGAAATTCGAATAGTACCAAAATTGAAAGTTACAACCATTTAAATTGGTAGAAATATATAAGTATTAAAGTTGTTTGCGGTTTACGAATAAAAATCTTAAAGAAGAGCTGAAAAATTTGCTATAACAGATGTAACTATGATCTGATCCTTTGTGGAAGGACTAGGTTTAATATTTTAGGGATTTAATTTTATATATATACAAAAAGGCCTAATTTACATTTCTTGGGATCCCTATACCTTCAAAGAGGTTTCTTTTCTAGATTATATACTCCAAACTTTAAAAATTATAAATTAAAATACATCACAGATAAAAGTATTATTACAAGAGATATAAGAGTAAGCACTTACAAGACTATAAACCCTCGAAAATAATAGTAAAAAATAAACTCTTTTAACATTATAATCCCTTTAAAAATAATAATCATACCCTGCAAAACATTCTGCCACCGTACACTCAAAGAGTGATCACTTTGTAAATCCCGGGAAAACACTTGAATATTCCAGGTATCAAAAGGTACCAAAAAGTCAGACAAAGAGAGTGAAACGGAGTAGAAGAAGATGCAGGCAAAAGAAGCTGCGATTGTGTGCTGTTCTCCTTCTCCTACCTTCGTGTTCTCCTCAGCTCAGCTTGTCCGCCGCCGCGCAGTCTGCCAAACTCCAAGAAGAGAGTCTGCCGGCTGCCCCTCCTCTCTGCCCCCACATCTACCCATCCATTGATTTTTGTTTTTGTTTCATCTGACCGACGAACGTGTTTCGTGTTCCTGCAGAAAACAAGAAGAGAAATAGGAGGTAGAAGGAGGAGAGGTGCAAAAAGGAGAACACAAAATGGTCACAAGTCAAAAGCGATTTCTTTTGCCAGCCGCCTCTTGGCTTTTTTTAAGCCTCTTCTTAGGCTGTTTTTTAGTTTTTATTTACTTTTTTTTGCCAATGCCACTAAGCTGGCTGATGATGACAAAGTGTGAAGAAGTATTTAAAGTGTGGAGCAAGCTTCCACCGCCTCCTCATCACCCTCCTCCATCAGCATCGCAGCCTCCCCCTTCCCGCCTCGTTCGGCGAGCGTGAGAACTGTCAGTCAATAATTTTGTCGTTATCTCGGTAACAATCCTTGAGCTGTCTCCTTTTATAATTTGTAGCTCTCCTCTCGCCAGGAGAATCAGGAGGAGAGAAAGAGAGGGAGTCACAGGGTGCTCCAGGTGTGGGGATTCTCTTCTCACTCCAGGCACGTTTTCGGGATAACGCCCTATTTAAAGCTTGGATAATCGCTAGCGAATATGTCATTTGCATTCGCAATTAGAAGAGGCATTCCCCAAGGACAGGGGTGTGGGTGATATAGCTTGGAGAGGGGTTTAAGATGCACAGAAAGAAATTATTAACTAAAAATCAAATCTACAACCTTTGAAGTGTTATTTTGAAAGATACAAATATTTCTTACTTTCTCATTTAAAATTTAAATACAATTCCTTTTGAGAATTCACTTTAGACTCTTCTAAAGTCTCCAAAGAATTCTTTTGGAATTCATGAGTCTCCAATTCCTAAATTTCCAATTGGCCAATGCCAGGGAATCGAGTTCGAGTGCTTAACCAGATGCCCTACGCCCCACTTCTTAGAACAGCCATCCGATCTGCCGATTGCAGCATTATATATATATTATATCTATACAATTATGTGTCTATATATGTATACATATATGTACCTCGTCGGGGGAGTCGAAAATCACCTGCGCACTCCGATTTCCAGGCAGCGCGTGCTCTCAATGCCCACAGAAAATGAAAATGAACTCGAATTGTTTACAGACATTCTACATTATTTGGGTGTATGTACACACACTGTGAGTGTGTGTGTATGTTGTGGCAACATCGAGACAACACTGGGACAGGTATAATTGCTGCTACTCATAATAGTATAACACTTCTTGAGGGGGAAGAGAGCTCCCGGTATTTAAAAGTCAGCAGAAGGGAGCCCATTATATTGACTTTCCTGGGGTTTTGTTTACCTGAAATTACAACATTTTGATATCTATAATTAATTTTGTTTTTGGTTTGAGAGGAATTGACAAGAATTTATAACTGGTGATCATTGTTATAGTTTTTATGGTTAAATATTTACACGAGAAGTGTTGTCAGAGGGATTTCTAAGCCTTAAAAACACAAACAAGATAATAGCAATAGATATACTATATTTATAGAAATATTTATTTAGTATTTTACTGAAATAGTTTTAAAATTTTTGTTTATCTTTTTGTTAATTAATTAAGAACAATATTTATAGGAACCTCTTAATTAAAATAACTTAAAAGAGTTCTCTTTTGGGGTTGAACCTAAAAGAAAAAGGAGAATCGCTCTCAGAATGATTAGCTGCAGTCAAAACCTCTCTCTTGTTCCCTAGCTCTTGTTACTGATTTTGCTTGTACATTGCAGGCAATAAATATAAATTTGTATATATTTAAAAGAGCTTCGAGACTAGACAAGTTCAACTATAGCCAAAAAACTCAGTCTCGGTTACTTTATATATTTTATAGTATAGCAAGCCAGAGCACCACCTCAATTAGTATCCTCATATCTTATCCGAAACATGTTTCGGTTATGGGACATTAGATGGCTTGACGCATTTCACTTTTCAATAAACAGCAAAATCTAATTAATGTCCGAGATACACGATACATAAATATCCGTGGGCTGTGGGCTTTTTGCCCGCAGCAAATTGGCGACAAAAGGCGCTGCTGCTGGCGGCTGCACTGGGCCTCCTCCCCGTATAAACATACAAATATATATGGATATAGATACAGATATATATCTCCGATTTACATACACGCGCTTATGTGATTTTTTGTGGGCTAAACAAGAATTCGCGCACTCAGCCGGCAGCCAGTTGGTCGCGGAGCTTGGCGGCTGCCATAATACGTTGTTTCAGTTTTTTTTCTGGTGGGGATTTTGGGGCTGTGTATGGGCCTGACAACTTTGATTTTCGCATTAGCTTCGAAACCCTCCTCCTCCACCTCCTACGAGGCTGTCCCCGCCTGTGCCTGAGTCGATATTCCGAATTCGTATTCCAGTCAGAGCCGAAAGCCCAGACGCTTGACGGCGACTGGCAGCAGACCTGGCCATAAGTGCAGTAAATCATTTTACGCGTGTTCGCCTTACCTCACCTCACACCTCACCACTCACCACTGTCTCCACCTGCTCCTCCTCCTTCCACCAGATGAAGCTACCCGCCTGCGCCGCCAAGCAGGGCGAGTGCGATGATAACGAGGGTCCCGTCTGCGGCACCGATGGCCAGACCTATCCCACCAGGTGTCACCTGCTGCGGGCTCAATGTGGAGGTCACCAAGTGAGCCTTAAGTACCATGAGTCCTGCAATGGTAAGTAAAAATTACCTCTTACAAAATCTTTAAAAACTTAATACAATTCCTTCCCTTTCAGCCTGCTTGGAGGCTGTGAAGTATGCCCGCCGGCAGCAGGCTCGGGATCCTGATTACTTTGTTCCTCGCTGTCGCAAGGATGGCAATTATGCGGCCATGCAGTGCTATGGCAAGACAGGACCCTGCTGGTGCAGTGACAGCCAGGGCAGACCCATCGAGGATACTTCGACGCCCACGCGAAGGGGTAAGCCGCGATGCCGAGCCTATCGTCGCAATCGTCGTCGTCTGGCCTCCCATCAGATGGGCTACAGTCCGGATACCTCTGCTTCGTCCAAGGGCAGCTCGGAGTCGGGAGCTGCTGGCCATCGGCCTTGCAGCAAAACGGATCGGGCAATGTTCAATGGCAATCTAATGAGGATGCTGCGCAACGAGGCCCAGAACTTCCTGCGGCAGTCATCGCTATCGGATGCTGCCATTTTGGAGTGGAAGTTTGCCAAGCTGGACACGAATGGGAATCAGTTGCTGGATCGCCAGGAGGTGAAGGAGCTGAAGAAGGTCTTGAAGAGGGTGAGTCTTTCAACAGGTTGTTTTGGACTTTCTGCTTTATAATTAAACTTGATGTTTAATAGAATGTTAAGCCGCGTCGCTGTGGCAGGACCTTTGGCAAATACTGTGATGTCACCAAGGATGAGAACCTTAATGCTTTGGAGTGGAGTATTTGTTTTACCAACAAATTAAACAATCGTGAGTAAATAAATTAAAAATATATATATATTGGACGATATTTTAAGTAAACAAAGTCGGTAAATATTAAAACCTAACTCTGAATTACTAACATATTTGGAAATTAACAATTAAAAATATATTTTATTAACGGTAATTTAAATAATAAATAAATAATAATGTTATCTATATGTTATTTGTTATTTAAGGGATAATTTATTAAATTAAATAAATTCCTTAACTAGCCCCTTAACCCATAACCCCATATTTTCCAGCATTTTAAATTCATCTCTCTCACGTACATATTTCTTACCTGCATCCAGGTAGTGCCGTTGTTACCCTCCTGGCCAGCAGTGCAGCCACCGCTCCGCCTCAATCCACCCATTACCATGTCCACGGCACAGCCACCAATTCCAATGGCAAGCATCGAGATCATACCAACACCAATATCATTGGCAGTGCCACTGGTCATCATCCGCACACATACTCGGAGGATGTGAGTGGCAGTGAGGATAACGAGGATAACTACGAGGATGGCGGAACGGGCTATGGCGGCGAGGAGGATGAGTCGGATGGAGGGGATCTGCCCAATTCACGTAGCCACATCCCATCATTATATAGTACGTAGATTTTGTGTGTAAACTAACCAAAGCCAACAATATGTCTTCGGATCACTAAGTAGGGATATTGGCAGATCAATAATTTAACAATATTTGAGGTGAAAGTCGATAAATTTTAAAAACGATATTTTTGATTTATAATTTGGATTTTTCCTTTTTCATATAATTTAAGCATACAACTATCCTAAACATAAAACTTTTCAACTAAAATCTATTATTAAAAGCAACTAAACTATATCCCTTGTTCTCTGGAATGCCCTTCTGATAAATCTTAGTTCAAGTTTCTATCGACTTCATCTTGTTTCCCAACATTTGCGTATGAAATAAGATCAGATCCCCATTTCATATCATTTCTTTTCGGTGGTTCGTGTTCATTTGGCATGCTTCCAAAGGGCAGAATAGAATGTATTTTAAAGCGCATATCTTGACAGTGCTGAACTCCAAGCCGGAGACGACGAGCCAGGACACGGAGAGCGAGTCAAACTGCTGGATGGATCAATCAGTGGCGCTGGAAGAGCAGGGGGTAAGTGGAGAGACCACTATCTCCAGATATATTCCTAATATTAATATATCCTCAGCATGGTGGCAAGCTTTTTGTGCCTCAGTGTTTGCCTGATGGTCGCTACCAGCGCGTCCAGTGCTACACCTCCACTTCCTACTGCTGGTGCGTCAACGAGGATACGGGCAAGAGCATTCCGGGCACATCGGTGAAGAACAAGCGACCGCAGTGCGAAGAGGATGTGGTTGTGCGTCCCATGAAGGGTTGCACCGAGCCGCGAAAAACCCAGTTCCTGCGGGAGCTAAAGGCTTTTCTCAACACTTCGCTACTGCCCAGCAGCACCACAGTGTAGGTTTATCTTTGAAATATCTAATTTATACATTTTAAGCTTTAAGCTTTATATTACAGAGCCAATTCCACCTTGTGGAAGTCGGAGGATGAAAGGATTGCCACTTTGAGCTTTGTCTATCTGGACAAGAACAAGAACAAGTCCTGGGAGCGACGAGAGTGGAAGGTCTTTAGGGATCTGGTTACGAGTGCCAGGTGAGAGCTTTAGAAAGAGACTGTGTAGGAAGATTTTATAATACCTTTTCTCCTTCAGCAATCTACGCAGATGCGGCAAGAAAATGCCCAGGTACTGTGACATCAATGGCGACAAGAAAATCTCCCTGGCCGAGTGGCTCAACTGCCTCCAAGCGTCACCACGGGAGAGTGCCACCACTGTGAAGCCAGCGGCACAGTCAAGTATGTGATATATTTTTTCAACTCTGGAGATTTCTATATTAAATCCGATTTCTATAACTTCTAGATGAGACAGCCAGTCCAAAACGCCAGGGATTTAATCCGCTGGAGCGATATCTGAAAGATTAATAACCGGGAAACTCTGCTGCTGTTTACTCACTTACTCATTAGATGTCGTTGTGCCATGACACACACACCACACCCACGCACACACAACAAAAACTAAAGGTGAATCGATAGGCTTTGGACTAAGATATAGAAAAGAAATTGGAAACCTAGGATGACAAGTGAAAGAACTTCCTTTCAAGTTAAAATTTGTAATTTGTTTTTTTCAAAGATCCTCATTAAATTAATTGATATAATTAGGTAAAGCCTGGATTATTTCGTAATTATAAAAGGAGCCAGGTCCTTTCAGTTTTTTGTCACAGCAATCGATTCATCCTAAACCCACACACCCACACCCACACCCAAAAACACAGACACATTCCTAGCATATAGATTCTATGATTTACATGTGTATGTTACTAATTCTTAATTAGTGTTGTAAATATTATCGGACATAAATGTTTAAGCTTAGCTTTGGTCAAAAAATCTCTTATTTCGGCTTGGCGCCGCTAATGGCTTCCCAGTGGATGAGTCGCAAAGGCAGGCACACAATACTCTCCCGGGAATGGGGTTGCAGCAGCAGCTTTGCCACCTGGGCAAAGACCAGGACAACCAGAGTGGTCACCTCCATGATGACAAAATGTGAAATGGAGCTGCCAATGTCCAGCCAAGAGCCTTGATTTCGCACCAGAAAGAGGAAGTTCAGACCCATCACATCACAGATTAGCAGCAGACAAATGTAGATTTGCTCCTCATGCTGACGCACAAACTCACTGTGGGCATACACCACCGCCATGACCAGGACCACGGGCAGGAGAAGCTTCAGCAGCACCAGACCCATGATCACAAACGGTGCAAAGTGACTGAGGAAGCAGCGGGCTATGTTGGGATCGAAAGAACTAATCGAGGCTATGTTGCCGGATCCAAACAGCGAGAAGAAGGTGTACAGGAGCAGGGTGAAGGCCAGCCTTAGGACTGACTTCTCCGCCTGGGCTGTTTGAGAGCGCAGTGAAATACCCAGTTCCAGGGTCAGCAGCTGGAGGAATACTGCCTCGTAAGAGGTGCACAAGGTGGCATACAGGCAGGCCAAATTGAAGCTGATCTGAGCCAGACGCAGCTCCAGCTTGGTCTCTTGGTTTATCGCAATGGCAGTGAAAGCGTAGGCTAGGTATAACCAGCTGGCCATGTTTAGGTGAACCGGAATATTCCTGCCGCTGTCGTGAAGATAAGCGCACACTATGACGTTCAGCAGGATCAAAGCATTGCAGTACTTGGTGTGATTTCCGAGGCTCAATCTGGCCTTGGCACTCCACAGGCAGTTTATAGGTATCAAAATGACGCCAGCCAGGAGCATAAACCAGTTCTGATAGCCCACCGAAGGCGGCAGCAGGGGAAACCCTGCAAGGATCAAGATCAAAGCCAGCCAGCGGTACAACTCCAGGGACTTGGGCTGGAAATTACTCCAACTGTTGTAGCAGGCGAAGGCCACAAAGCACAGGGAGATCAGGCGGCGGTCAAAGAAGGTGAAGACCATTAGCTCCGCGCAAACAATAATCATCAGGAGCTGCCATTTTGTGGTCTTTAAAGATGGAGCACTGTAAGCTTTTTCAGGCTGAGGTGTGACTGCAAAGCTGCTCCAGGGCTGGGCAGCCTTTAGCCAAACAAAGAGAGGCAGCATTAGGTAGAATTGTATGTCCAGCGGGGTTCTTTGGAGCAGCAGGAACAACATCAAAGCAACTAGCGAGAGAGCTAGACTCATCCTCACCAGCTTGGCATTCCCTGCCAGGGCCAGCTCCACTTGGCTTCCTCTATTCTTCGCCAGCGAGCGGTACAAATAGAATATCCAGCCCAGGAAAGTGGCTGTGGTGCTCATCAAAAGCGCACTCCTATAGTAGCCATGATAGTAATCGATGCCCTGGAGGGCATGCTGCATCATCATTTGGCTCTTGACCTGAGAGAGTATGTGTTCCTTTTGCTTGCGCAGCTTCTTGATGTTTGTCTTGTACGCTTTAATGGCATCCGGAGGCAGGTGTCTAAACGCAGGCAGGAGTCCGGCAAAAAATCCTCTATTGTGCTGCTTTTGGAGTGTTTCATATTGCTCCAAGAGCTGCAAAGCATTCAAATATGCAGCCATGGCTTCATATTCAGTGCTGACATTCATGTAGCCAATGGGCAAGGTGCCGAAGTTGTTCATGGGCGGGGGCAAACCGATCAAAGCTGACATAAGCGGCGTTAACTGGGCCTGTTCCAGTTCCAGCAAAGTCATCGGTGGCCCTTGATCGTTGGGCATGAATTTCCGGCTGCCAGGATTGGGCACCTGGCGAGCAACGCCCGAACCCCACAGCATGAAAGGTGTGTCAGTTTCGTGGGCAGTGCCAGCACCATGGGAACCTAAAGAGATAAGAACAAAAAAAGTAGATAAGGTTCACTGCATTCCATGAAAAATAAAGCAAAAGAAAGCCTTACCCGAGTCAGTCATTCCATGATCGGAGGTCAGCAAGTAGACAGTCTTTTTATCGGGAAACACACGCTCGAATTCCTCGTAAATCTCACGTACTCCTCGCTCAGTCTTGTCCAAATTCTTGCGGAATTGCGGTGAGCCCGGCTTGTGGACATGCCCCACTGTGTCCAGTCCCAGGAGATGCAGGAAGAAGACCACAGATTGGGATTTTCGCAGCTTCTCACCCTTGCGTTGCAGCAGCCACTGGGCGCGCTTGAACACCCACTCATCCTGTTCGTAGCTCTCGTAGCCCGGCGAGAAGTCCAGATCATTCGTGTAGGATTGGAAATGCATGGTGTTCAGATTAACAAGATGCTCAAAGATGCCGATTATGTCATTGGCACCCCAGGCATAGATGTGCGAACTACGGTTGAACACCGTGTCAAAGTCGACGGGATTTTTCTTCCAGCCCCGCAGCACCGCCGACGGATCCTCGTAGAGTCCAGCTAGCAGCGCTATGTGCCCCGGCCGGGTTTCGGTGGGCATACGGGTGTGTGACACCCCGACGAGGCCCTCCCGCAGGAAGATCTCACGCAAATGCGGCACATACCGGCAGTTATCCTCGAAGAAGGAGTCGGCGCGCAAGCCATCGGTCACAATTAGCACCAAGCGCTTGGCTGGTGCCTCCAATTGGTAGTCCAGCAGCCGTTTCTGCGGGCTGAGGCCTCTGATCACCGGCGAGCGGAAATAGATGACGAAAATTGAGCCCAGGAGCAGTACGTGGACCACTACGGCGAACACCCACATCGCAGCGAGGAATTTGTTTTTGAAATGGCAATCAGCTGAGAGTGACCAGCTGATTGACCAAGACAGAGCACTTACGGAATGCCAACTTGATTGAAACGTTTTCATAGCTAGAATTTCGAAAAATCGATAAGTCCCCAGCTGTTTTCGTGTTATCGGTGTAATAATAAAAAATGTCAGCGGCACGTTTATACACCGGTTTTCGCTTATTTTCCTCGAATCCCGTCGGCGGCCAGCGCCTGGTCGAGGCCGTGGCAGTGACCAAGAACGGCCGCACCATTGTGGCCTGGCATCCGGAGCCGTCCTTCCCCTACGAGAACACCCGGCCGCTGCCCAAGATTGCCGAGGCCCAGAGCTCGTCGGTGGTCAAGGAAACGGCTCTAAACTCGGCAATGCGGGCATTCAAGAGCAAACACCCGGAGGTGGCGCGCCAGGAGCTGATGCAGCTGACGCACACCACCAAGCACCGATGGTTTCCACGTGCCCGCGACAACAAGGCCAAGAAGACGCCGATGGACCGGCCGTACCTGTAATCACCAGCCATTCATCAACTCTCAGTCTGTGCATTGCATAATGTACAAATAAATTCGTTTTCGTTTAATCCATGCGTTGACGCTTGATGAATACATTGAGCAGATCGGAGATGGGAATGTCGGCGGGCGGCTGAGCGGGCGGAGCAGAGGCGGCGGTATTATTGCGGTGCTGCGGGAACGTGGGCATCATGCGGGGATCACAAGCTGTAAGGAGAACAGGACGAAATGTAGTGATAAAATTTAGAAACCAGGAATGTAGGCTTACCCTTCGGCGTATCCACAAAGTAATTGCTATTGAGGCACTCCTCGGCCGTGGCCCTGGTTAGGGGATTGTATATGAACAGGATGTTCAGGAGATTCCTGCCCGACTGTCTGATTGAGTGGAACTTGGTCTTGAGATTATTGTAAGGCTGCTGGCTCAGGGTGAAGTTCTGCAGGGCGGGCATATCGGAGAACCCTGGCCAGATGGACTCAGAGGGGGCTCCCAGCAAATCGATGATCATGTTGAGCTGTCCAATCTCTGAATTTCCGGGAAGCAGAGGTTTACCCAGCAGCAGTTCCCCCAGGATGCAGCCAAAGGCCCACATATCCACGGCCGTGGTGTGTGTATGACACCCAAGGAGCAGCTCCGGTGCCCTATACCACAAGGTGACCATCTGTGGAGTCATGGGCTTCGGTGGATTGCTGAACTTGCGCGCCAGGCCAAAGTCAGCTGGAAATGGGATCGGTTATTAGCTAAATAAGATCCTCAAGAGCCTGTAAGACTTGCCAACTTTGATGCAGCCCTTGTCGGTCATCAGAAGATTGGACACCTTCAGATCCCGATGGATTACATAGCGATCGTGAAGATACTTGAGGGCATTGAGCACCTGCAAAGTGATACACTTGACCTCCGATTCGGTAAAGGGCTGCGACATGTTGTCCAGCACCGAGGCCAGGTCCTGTTCACAGAAATCCATCACCAGGAAGATGCTGTCCAGGCTCTTGCCCACGACCACCTCGCGGAGGCGGACAATATTCTCATGCTTGCACTGCTTCAGGATCATGATCTCGCGGAGACCGCTCACAGGCAGGCCATCCTTCTCCTGATCCATGCGCACCTTTTTCAGGGCCACTATTTCATTATTGCGGGTGTCGCGTGCACGATCTGGAGGGGATGTCTGGGTGTAATACGGGGATTAAGTGGTTCTGGCGCTCAACTTACACACAATGCCATAGCTGCCTTCGCCCACGCGATTGAGTTTCTCGAATTCCGAGACGGGGCGACAGCGTCCATACTAAAATAAAGGAAATATATTCAAGAATTTTAAAGATTAGTAAAAACCCTGAAGCACTCACCACATTCTGCTCGGGAATGGGCATGGGGGTACCGCTGTTCAGCGACATGAGAAACCCCTTGCGGGTGATGGGTGCCTGGGGATCAGGCGCCGGATTGCTGTCCACTTCATTCGATTTTAGGCTGGACATTATTTAAAAAACCGGCACTAAAAAAGCAAATCAAAAAGATATGTTTACAATTGTCCAATTAGTGGTGGTACAAAGCAACCGATAACTTGCCAGTCGATAGCTCGCTAGAACTTCCAGGTTTGGTCATACCTTGACGCATTTTACATAACTTTTCAAATCTTTGGTTCTCGGAAAGTCGTTACTTTTTGCCGCCAGACAATTACCTAAAATAATATAGGCCCAGGTTTCGTAATAGCCACTAATTTAATAACCAAAAAACAATAGTGACTAGAAACCCGAGCACGACTTATGAAAGTGAAATTGCACCAGTTTAAAGAAGAAATTTCAAATGCATGTCTTAGGCATTAAACTCTCGTCATCGTCGTCGCCCGGCTGTACGCATGTGTGAAAATCTGCGAGCCAAGCCACAGCATTAAGGTAGTCCATCAATTATCACCCCTGAACTTGGCGCAGATCGCTGGATGGTATAAAAGCTGGAAACCCGGCTTCGAGCTGCATCATTCGGTTCTGCAGTGACCAACCCAAGGGATACCAGCTTTTAGTTTAAAATAAAAAATATTTAAAAAATATCTACAACCATGCACAAGAACACCATTTGGTATGGAGCCGTGCTCTTGGTGTTGTACTACACTCTGGTGTTCTGCGAGGAGCCGGAGAACGCTGGAACGCAGCCTGCTGAAGTGGATAACCAAGCGGAGGATACCTGGGAGAATCTTGGACGGGAGCTAATGGAGTTCGAGGGACGCACTCGCCGGCATCGTCATCACATGTTTTGGTGTAAGTAAATTTGTGAAAAGTGTTTTATTTTTTAAGAGTAAAGAAAACTTTCAAGTTGAGTGCAGACAAAGTAGAAGATCCATGTTAAAGCCCACGAATGACAGTACTTTTTTGAGATGGAGAGATGAGGATATAGCTTAGATATAGTAGAGGAAAAATAGTTACGATTGAACCCATTATTCTTCTTTCTTTGATATAATTTTCATTCATTTTTTCTCGGTTTCTTCTTCAATTTCTTCGTAATTACCAAATCTCTTCTGTGTAAAGAAAATATATTAAATTTGTTAACCAAACAATTAAAATTTATAATTTATCCTATTTTAATTTCAAACCTTAACTTTTCCTTAAAAATGCAGGCTTTAAAGAAGTTAAACTTCCTACAAACTCTTCAAAATTACCTAATCTTTCCCAGAAATCTTTACTTACACATAATCCCCCAAAGATAAGATTAACCAATCTTTTAGTTCCAAGTTTGTTATCAAAACACCATAATTTACACAACAATTAACAACTTGGCGGGTTATTGCTATTATTCTGATCACTTTGGGATTACCTACCCTAGCTTGGTCGTGCTCAGCTCCACTTTCTTTGGAAAGTTTTTCCATATGGTTCAGGTCCCCCCAAATTAGCTGATCACGAACCTCGCTCGGTGGCTTATCAATTAACACTTTTCACTTTCAATCTTTTGGGCATAGATATTATTGTTTAATAAATTGTCGCGAAGGAAAAATGTAGAATTTGGAGAGCAGTGAAAGTGTCTTACACTCTGATGCAATGGAAAATTATTTAATATTTTATCTTCTCCCCGACAGATCGCCATCTGTGGCCCATTGCCATTGCCTACTGGATCAAGGTGAAAGTGGTGATTGTCTCCTTCTTTGTGGGCAGCGCCATATACTTGGGTCTTCGTTACTTCTGGCCACATGCCAGGTGCAATCAGGAGATCATCCTGGATCATCCGTGAGTTGTCCTGGAGAGGGTTTTAGTTTAATTTTTGCTAATATCTGAAATACTTTAGACCCTCATCTTACTCCCATCACGATCACATTCCCTACTCCCTGGACCATGATCACTCGGAGCATTATGAATCGCCACCCACTTCCTTTGACTCTAGCTCCAGCTTCGAGCCCTATTCGGGTTATAGCAGCTATGCCGGCTCGGACATAGTCTCTGACATACACAGCGATTACCATGGGGAGTCTGCCTCGGGTCCTGCTGGTCCCAGCGGACCCACTGGACCCTCCGATACGCGTCGTCGTGGCAGGCGTAGCCTTGAAGAAGATCAGGAGGAGCCAGAAGAGCAGCAGCAGGAGGATGGTGAGGATGAGCAAGTGGAGATTGTGGATGAGGAGATAACCGAAAGTGTGGCCCGCCAAATGCCCGCAGAAGAGCAGTGAGTAGACCCTTTAAATTTACTGCTTGGATGGGTTAACAGTTCTTAAATTTCTCTGCAGGATTGCTGACTTTATGTTTGCCTTTTTGGGTCTGGATTCCAAGGCCTGTCGCCGGCGCTTTGTTTGCGAAATGGAGTTCCGCTCCAAGCTGAATCCCATGACCAGCATGGCCTTCCGCATAGTGGGACGCGGCTTCTTTGAGAAGTACACCAATGCCAGAAATCCTCTGTCCAGGGCCACCAACTTTGGCGAGTGTGCAGCCGTGAATCCAGAGTGCATATTTGTGGAGAATGGTGAAGGAGAGGGTCAGCAGGCGGAGGAGCAATCTCAGCAGGTGGAACAGCAGGCGGAGGAGCAGGCTCAGCAGGAGGAAGTAGCTGCCACTGAGGAGGATTCCCAAAACGAGATAAACCTGCAAGCGGAAAGACGCCACGCCAAGCACAAGAATCGCAAGCTCAGCTCCATTGCCGAGCACATCCTGATGCACTAGAGAGCTTTAACTTGTATTTATTTATTTTTTATTTATTTATTTTAACTATAAGAGTGGAGAACGAACCTAGAACACACAAAATAAACTTGCCTCAATCTATAAATTTATGAAAAATGAAAAAAATTCTTCTTGTTCTAAATGCAAATTTTTAAAGTTACAAAAGGGATAACAAATTCTCACAATGAAAACAAATCTTAAGGACTGCAAATACCTTCCGCAAAATACCTCGAAAAATGTGACTAAAATTGTATTATTATCAGGACTATATCTTCTTGGTCTTTTTCTTTTTGATGGCATTTATCTGATCGGCCATCTGCTCGATTTCCCGCTGATTGATGGGTTCGTTCTTACGCACCTGCTGCGCCTTGCTGCTCTTCTGTCGCTGCGCCAAGTCGGCGGCCAGGTCGTTCAGCTTGCCCCAGACAAAGCTCAGGAAACTGGTGGCCAGATCCTGCTTGAAGAAGGCTATGGCCACCAGAGCTATGAGCACCAGCGCCGAAATGGAGTTCTGATTGAGATCCGCCTCGGCGGCACGCACTTCTGGCTGGAAGTCCAGCTGTATGAAAATGGAACCCCGATCCGCCACGAACGTAGCCGAGGGCAGCTTGTAGGTGTAGGTTTTGTCCGACAGCGTCGACTGTAGCTCCACCACATAGCTCTTGCCGTCCAGGGGTATGCGCGGGAAGAAGACCGTGATGCCTGGATTGAGCTTGGCCTTTGGATTCACCGGAGTGCCCACGCGCTGCGAGAACACAGGCGAGTCGGAGTTGCCCCGGCGGTACATCACAATGCGCAGGGTCTTGTAGTGATCATTCAGCGTGGCTGTGACGCGGGCGGTAATGTCTACGATTTTCAGAGGGCTGATAGCCACCAGATTGATGTCACGCACATCCTCGCTGGCCACCTTAACCGTGTGCTGGGCGGGAATAGATCTTTCCACGCTGTCCTTGTCGGGCACAACCAGAACGGAGTAAGTGCAGCCGGGCTGAAGGCCACGAATGCGATACTGACCATTGGCCTCGCTGGTGGCCTCCTCCTGCTGATGTGGACAGCCTTCCAGAGCCACGGCTTGGACATTCACGCCGGCAAAGGGATCGCCATTGAGGGAGGTCACCGAGCCAAAGATGGAGTAAGCAAAGCGCTTGCCACTGGGGGAAAAGGAAATAAATGAACAAAATATACAACAACTTTGATAAAAATTAAACTTACGTCAATGTTACAGGCACAGTTTCACCATCCTTGATCTCAATCATCTTGGAATTGGGCTCAAACTTGTACTCCTTCATCATGGGACGCAGATAGTATTGCGAAGGCGACAGGGAATGGAAGTTAATAGCTCCATTGTCGCCGGTGACCAGATTCTTGCGATAGCTCTCGCCGCCGCTTAGAGAGAGGAGAACACCGCTCAGCGCCTGACCAGCCTCATCCTTGACCACCACCGTAATTTCGCACAGCTTGTGGGCACTAAACGAGGCCGACTGCCGGTTGTAGTCGCTGAAAACATACGATTCCTTCTCAGCCTTCAGGTCGAAATTCAAGGCCTCATCAATGGGTCCGAATTTGAATTCTCCCGTGACGGAGGTAAGCGCTTCCAGGCTCTGCAACTCTGGTTGATCCGGGAAGGAGAGGGTTATCTTGGCATCTTTGATTGGCGGGACCACCTTGCCGCGCAATATCAATCCCCGAGTGGCCACAAAATTAAAAGCAATATCCACACAATCGCTGCTTCCCACAATCTCCTGTTGCTGAGGAGCAAACAGCAGGACATCGCTCACCGGGGTCACACGCAGCACTTGTTCTGGCTTCAGGAAGGTATCATAACGATAGGCAAACTTGCCATCCACCTTGTGCGACTCAGCCACGGGAGTGATAATCTCCTGACCCAAGGATTCTGTTTCCAGGATCAGCCTTATAGACTCTGCCGTTGGTTCGCTGGACAGTACGCGGATGCCGGTCTTGTGGGCCACTGCATTGATGATCAGCGTTTGCAATTGGTCTGGTTCTGGGGTGATGAACTTGCTGGGCAGGGAGCTATCGTAGGTGTGGCAGCCCTCGAGCTTAAAGTCATAGCTGCCGTACTTGTTTACACAGAAAGTGTTTACACCGGATTGTATTTTCAGGGTTTCAGTGGGGGGTTTGGGATCCGAGGGTCCTGTTACGTGGGTGTACCTCATCTGGGGGAAAGAAAGATTCGAATTTGGTTTACGTTTCTTTTTAAACTCGAGTAGAAACTCACCAAAGCTCGATGACTTGAGATAATGGACACCTCGTAGCCCTTGTGCACGAAAGGAGGGGCATCTTCCTCGGCGGAGGCCACATTGAGGAAGACACGCGTAGATTCATAGCAGAGATTGCCCTGTGGAATGGTGAGTTCATAGGGTCCTGGCAGCATATCCTTGAAGACGTACTTGCCACCTGATAAAGAAAATCAGGTAAATATCTAATCAGTAAACAAAGAACCTTAAAAACCACGTATCTCTAACATAAATTTACGATTCTTATCTCAAAAATCCATAGAGGAAAACGTAGTAAATTATAACAAATCTCTACTAGTTCGATTTCTTTCGGGGATTCCTCCAAGATTTCTTGCAAAGCTCATAAATTATAAAGACTTTTTAAAAATAAATACATCTCAAACCACTTACGATGTGCCCTGGCCTTCCACTTGCTCTCCGTGGGCTGACCGGTGGCATCCAAGGCCTGCAGCGTGACTTCAGCTGAAGTGCAAGTTCCTGTAGCATCCGGCAGACACTGCAATTCTCCACGAATCTTGGCACGCAGCTGGGAGAAAGTAATACCATTCACAGGAGCATCTCTAACCTCCGCCTGCTGCTGCACGGGGAAGAACTGCACGCCGGCGGCCTTGTCAGCATCGGTAGTAAGCACCTCAATGGTGTATTTGCCCACCGGGAGGAAGGCACACCAATTACCAGTCTCTGCCTTGGTCACAGCCGTCGTATGGAAGGTGGAACCGCTCTTGGTCAGACCAACATTATGGGACTTGGGGGAGACCACCTTGCCGCACACTTCATATGCAGAAGGCACAATTGTGGGCAGAGAAGCAGTGTTGATCTGAGCCTTGACTTGCAGGGGGCTAAACTGAAGCTGCGAGGACTCCACTTCGATGTTGACGGTACCAGCCTTGAGGTTTTCCAGCGTATAACCGCCCTGGGCATCAGTTTCGGCCACCTTTTGGCCATTCACCTTGATCACGGCTGACTTCAAGGGAGCTCCACCTGTTGCAGTCAAAACCTGACCAGAAACGGTGAAACCAGTGATCTTGAACTCTTCCTTCAGCTGGAGCGTATCCTTGCCCACTTCCAGCTCTAAGAAGTCAGGGCTCAGGTGCAGCTTTAGCTTGGCATCTAGATTAATGGCTTTTAGGAGGTATTTGCCAGAGGGAACATTTTTGAAAATATATTCTCCGGATTTGCTGTCCAGCTGAGAGAAGCAGGCGGCCGTCGATTCGTAATCGCTCTTGGCACTATTCACGGGAACCGAGGCAGAGGATTTGTCGCATTTTGGCACAAGAGATTGCTGGGGGAACAGAAAGAGATAATTAGATTCCTGGGAAATTTAAATAAATCTCTCAACTTACTCCCTTCTTTTTGTACAGAGCCACGCCCATATTGCCTGGCAGCTGGGTGCTGGTATCAAAGCGACCAACCACATCGAAGCCAGAGACCACCAAAGAGTTAGCCGGCAGCTCTGTATTCCCACTGACCACGACCACAGTGTGCTGGGACTTGGAGAAATGCCAACGGGCATGCGAGGCTGTGACCACATACTTTCCAGGAATAATGGGGGTAAAGGAGAAGACACCACTGCCATCGGTCTTGGTGCGACGGACTTCACCCTGCTCGGAACGCAGCTCAACGTCCACGTCACGCGCACCGCCACCGGCGGCCAAAGCCACCTTTCCAGTGATCCCAAAGCCCTTGAACACAAAATTAACGTCGCGGCCCTGGCTGCACACATCTGTCTTGCCGTCAAAGTTCAGCTCCACCTGCTCGGGCTCGAAGCTCCAGCCGGGCGGCGGCGAAATACTGAGCAGATAGTCGCCTTTGTCGTAAATGGGCAGGAAGTAGTAGCCGTTGGAGGGCGAGCAGTCAGTCTTGTCCTTCAGCGAACCCTGCTTCGTCAGCCTGGGGGGAAATTAGGTTAAACATATACGATACGGGTTAATTTATTATTCAATTAGCGGTACGATTAACATGCGCCGAAGTCTTATCAGGTCATTCCCTTTTACAGCCACTTACAGCTTAATCTCCACCCGCGAAAAGTCAATCTCGGCGTGGCTCTTGATGAAGCCGCCGCAGCCGACCACTTCCACATCGCCGGCTTTGGCATGTTGCAAAAGTTTAATTAATAAAATTAGAAAAATGCCGGAAAAAAACCTCATTTTGACTACGTTTGGTGACCAGAGTGACCGTGGCCGCAAGGCTAGAGATGGGATATGGGTAAGGGGACTATCGATAAGTCGATTACTATTTATTAGTAGGTTTTTTTCTGCGAATTATATGTGACGTAAACGGATTTAAAGTAATTCTGAGCTAAAACATAGTATTATTTTTATTTAATTAACTAAAAATGTTTTGTAAAACACCCAACCTTATATTTATATTCTGCTTAGCCTGAACTCAAACCTATTTCAAATTTAAATTTTACAGGGTTGTCTATGCTTTTCAACATGATTTTGTAACGGTATTTATTGTTTAAAATTTTTACGACGAATATTTATGAATAAATATAACAAATAAATAGTTTAATGATTTGCACATTTGCTTTTAATTTCTATATAGTTGCTTAAAGTCTTCTTTATAATCAATACCCATTCCAAAATATGATTTTTAATTATTTTAATTCAATAAATTACTTACCTAAAAAAAAACACACTAACAATGTTCTGTATTACATTTAACCACTCTGATAGTTAAACAAATCTGATAGTTAAACAAATTTTACCACTTTGTCGTTTTATTTTGGCAATTGAAGCAATGCGATCGCCCGATAATTTGGATAGCACTATCTTCAAGCTCTGGCCATTTGACGTTCCCTGAAAATAAACACACTGAAAACACTTTATTGAAACAGATAATAGCTTGTCGTATATTAATTATCGGAACGAATTTCCATTACCCCCTAAGCGAGATAAAGACCAGTATGAGTGTGCGAATCGATTCCGATTGTGGGTAAACCGATCCGAGGTCGGAGATATATACACAGAAATTCATTTCAAGCATCGTTGCTGCTATTGCGGCGCTTGTCTAATAAATTTCTTCGATCATCGCGCGATAAACTGGCTGGCAAATAAAGAATTCGCAATATGGAAGACATTCTGGGCTCGCATTTCAGAGCCTCGTCTGCGATCTCGAACAAAGCTCCACAGCTGTTCAGCTCCAACGCAAAAAAAAATATATAAGGGGAAATTATTATATATATTGTGTCTGAGCAGCGTCAATTGCCCCCCTCCTGGCATTGACTTTGAAAAATACGCCTTGAGATGGCCCCCGGCGATGGGTTAAAGCGTGCCTCGAGTCGAGTCTATGGGCTTAACCACCGGCTGCTATCTCTTATTCCAGCCAGCACATTGTAAACAATATACACATATTTTTCTTGGAAAAATTGTATTTATTAAAATTTTTTATTACAATTTTCACAATTTACTTATCGCTTTCTGATCTGTTTCAATGATTTCAGCAGAAACAACGCGCCTCTTTTCGGCAGTATCCCCTCCTATGGAGTTCACACTGTACAGCACAGGATGGACTGTTGCACTCATGGAATCCAGGGAATCCCAGGGAATCATCCTGAGCTCGTGCCCTGAATGCCATCAAGGCTAGGACGAAAAGTAGCAGCGCGATGAACTTCATGTCAGGATCTTAGAGGGTTCTCAGTGGAAAATCTACTGTGACAGATCAGCGCTCCCGCCAGTTTATATACACAAGTCTAAACTGTCGATTAATTTGACTTCATCAGATTTGATTGCTATAGATTATATATATATATATTTAATATACCTTTACTAAACATAGTTTTCTTGGAAAAAAAAAAATTTATTAAAATTGTTTATTACAGTTTTAACAATTTCTTTGTCGACTTTAGATTTGAGGAAGTTGTGATGATTTCAGCAGATACAATGCGGCTGGTTGCAGTATCCACGCTTATATAGTTCACACTGTATAACCCAGAAAGGACTTAAGCATTCACGATCGCCCTGGGATTTATCCTGAGCTCGTACCATGAAAGCCATCAAGGCCAGGATGAGAAGTAGCAGCGCGATCAACTTCATGGCAGAATCTCAGAGGGTTCTCAGGCGAAAGTTAACTGTGACAGATCAGTGCATCCGCCGGTTTATATATACGAGTCCGGATCAGATTTGATTTTGCTATAGATTATTTATTTTAGAAAATAATGATAACATATTTTATACTTGGAAAAATATAATCAACTACACATTTTTATTAAATTTGCAGAGAGGCAACTTTAAACTACTATTAAAATCAGTTTTCTTTGTATTATGCGATTATTAATTATATTGCACAGGAAAAATAATATAATATGCACTTAATACATACATACATATATTACTTGGAAATATTTAACTTGTTGTTCTTTTAAATTTGCACAATTGCAACTTCAAAAAACAATATAATCTGCTTTCGTTGGAATATTCTATTATTTATTTTATGTATTTATTACAGGGAAAGTAATATTATTTATTCAAGTTCATACGTTTTTACATTTTTTATGAAATCAATTTAATTTTTCAAATAATCCATCTATTAAACTAATCAGTCATTTATATGGATATTAATATCTAAATAAGTATATTAATATCTATAAGTATAGTTCAATAAATTAGTTTAAGTACTGCACCGGAAGCGTGCCACTCTCCGCTCTCCCGCTGATCTTGGCGGTCTACCTGCTGCGACTACCTGTAGTCGCCGTCGATTCCAAACTAATTAGCTGACCAGCGCCGGCATTTGCATCTTGGTCAGATTTACGATACATATGCGGGTACTGTTCGGGTAAGGGTACTACTACTTGGGTAACGTTAGGGGTTTCTCGGACAGACAGACAGAATGTCGCGACGGTGGCAGTTGCGGATCGGATCGGATGGGATCAGCATTAGGTTTATGGCTTCCCTGCCTGCCGTAATTAGAACCCGTACGTAGACACTGCGCCGATAAGCCGACGACGAGCACACTAAGTAATAATAAATACGATTTTAATGAAATGCTAAGAGTTCATTCGGCTTATCTGGCGCTTATGTCAGCGATTCCCCAGTCTTCTTTAGAATTCAATTAGTTCCGGAGATCGAGGATCGAAATCGGTGGAACGGGAAAACGGGATCCGTTCAATGTCAGAGTCATAAAGGCGGCGCACAAAAAAACGCACCCCTAAAACCGGGTTTAGATTTCAAAAAGCAATCAAGCCAACCCCTATTAATACCCCATAGGGGGGAGGTTTTAAGCAAGCAAAACAACAGACGGACAAAAGAAATAAAAGAAACTGCGGACAAACACTGCGCAAAAAGTCAAACACAGTTTCCTACTTACGAGGAGGAGTTTTCAGTGTACGGTTGGGATTGGCTATCTGCACTATTGTTATAGGTGCTTTTTTATTCTTCAGATTTTTGTATATACATTTTAGATACATTAAATAAGCAGTTAAGTATTAATTTTAATATTTTAAGTGTCTTTTATAATTACATATATGTAAATTAATTACTAGTTTTTATATTCAATTTGATAAGGAAATCGTTTATATAGGTAATACAAAATGTACAAATATTAAATTTTATGGAAACAATAGTAAAAACAAAATTATTTTTGTATTTATTAAAAACAACACAAACAACCCATAAATATTACGTATACGTAACCAAGTATTCAATGCCAAAATGTGCCATGAGACCCTTTTGGTGTCTCAATAGATACAATTAAATATAATTTCCCTCTTTAGAAGGTTTCACTGTACGGTCTGAAACAACACCACCCCCTGCGGGTGAGAGCCTTGCCAAAAAACAATTACACAAAGTAAATGGCGCAGGTGCCCTTAAGTATCCTCACGTGAGCCGAAGGGAGACGGGCTGATGCTGAGAGCGCACTCTCTCGCACACGCTCGTTAGCGGGTGGCACTCGTTGTACGCTCTTCAGCTCGATTTATTTCAAATCGGATCGCCGACGCGAGCGGACGTGAAAAACAAAAAAGCTTAAAAGCGAAGCAGCCCAAAACAGAGAACAAGAACCCAGCGCGTGCGTGCGTGCCAAGCGAAAAGTTAACTGTTGTCGCTTTCAACTACCAAGATCGTATTTCGCCAGCGGGCAAATTACTAAAAATAAGTGCAATTTAGCAATATACTGTGACTGTGTGTTTTGCTGTGCTCTGTGTGTTTTTTTTTATTATTTTTTATCGAAGACAAGAACTACTGATAAAACGAGATAATTGTATCTCACCAAACTTGTTCTCGCCGGAGCAGCAGCAGCAGCAGCCGCAGCAGAGAGCAAGTGCTCTTGTGCAAATTGTCGATTGTGGAAGGGAAAAACACACAAAGAAAATCAGTCCGGTCTGTCGTCGTCTATAAAGAATATCATCGTCTCAAAGGGCAGCAGCCGCGAGTGGTTTATCTAGATGTCGTCGGGTCTTATCTCGAGCTGTTTGTGAGGGTGTTTTCCAGTGAATATAAAAAGTATATAGAGTACATACAAGTACATAACATATAGTGTAGTGTGTCTGTGCCAAAGCTCATCGTCGAGTCAGCAAACAGCTGTCGAGTGCCCTTGAGTGGGCGGCTTCGTGATCATCTGCGGGGTCGGATATAACTGCTCCGATCCACTGTGACCAGTGTGCCATTACAGCAATTATGACGGCCGAGACCCTCAAGCCGTTCATCACGCCAACAAGTGCCGGCGATGGTTTTCCGGCCATGTCCACGAGTGCGGCAACTGCCCAGCGTCGCACCCGCCAGCTGGTCCCCATTTTCTTGGGGGTCATCGGTCTGGTGCTGGTTACCGGCATCCTCGGTCTAACGGTGAGTTCCTCTGCCAGGTTGCAAGATCAACAAAGATCAGCATATCCATTACCAAATCAAATATACATACAGTTATCTCCAGTAACCAAGGAGAGATTACTCTTGGCAAATAGGTGGCAGATAAAGTGGGTTTGGAGTTTCCAAGAAGTTCACAATATTTGGCACAAGATTAGAGGTTTTCTTATGAAATTAATTATTCAGGTCTTTATCCTATATTTTTAAACTTTTTTTCTATAATTTGACAACGGATGAGCTTCAAAGTAGCCTGATACATCACAGTCTTCTTGGGATTCCGTAGAAAAACCCGAAAAAAACTACCAATTAATTACTCACTGAGACTGCTTTTAAAAATTTAAACAAAACTAATTACTTAATGAGGTGGTGTATATCATATTTGATAAGTCTTATATTTGAACCCAAAAATAAGATAAACAGTGAAAATAGTGATGTGAAAATTCACCATTATGATATTACTATATTATTTTCAATGAATAATCATAAATTCCCATAGTTCACAGTTAAATAATTAATTGATTTTAGTTAATACTGATTTTTCACTGTGCATTATCGTTCAATGATTCGTTGAAATTCCAAAGGTGCGGGTATATCAGTTATTGCTGGGTGTTTTCCCCGAATCGCGATATGAATGAATCGCATTATTGGCAAATGTTGTTAAAAAATGAAAACTAGAAAAATTATGATTATGGCTTTTATAAATGATAGCTATTAGTTAGTTCTAGTTTCACCAGGAACTTTAATTATTTCAAGTTTATAATTGATATCATTATCCGTAACACTTAAGGTTTATTGAATTGATTCTGATTTCCAGAAAGGTTTAATTCGACGTACAATCGTTCTTATCTTTTTAAAAGCACATCTTTAGCACCCAACGAATATTGTTTTTATTTTTTGTAGAAACAAGATTATATTGGTAAAAACCCTCGGTGTAGATTCCATTTAAAGATTTAGCCGTGAACCGCCTTGTAGACTCTGCAGAGACTCAAATCTTCGGAAATGTTTATTTCAGAAGCAAGAATACTAAATGGCGAATAAATATAAATGCAAATTGGACTTTAACATACAGATTAGAGATAGAGACACCCCCGAAATCGCAATCTATAAATGAATATTTAACCTCTGGCACGCTTGTCACCGGAGGATGTGAATGCCAAATTAAAAACAAAATACCCGAGATGCATAAATTGAAATGAAAACAGATTTTTATGATCCGTGACCGACAGAGCGAGAGATACGTTTAACTATAATTTTTGGCATCAAACTATATTTAGATCGTGGGACGGCATGGGTCGTCTTGGTTATATGGTTTCTGTCTGATCAAGCGATGTCATCACCGACACGTCTTTAGGCCAAATCGGTTTCTAATGGGCCCAGCTAATCCGAAAAGAGCGGATGCAGATACACTTGGCAAATGTATATATACAAAAGATACTTTCCGTTTTGTTTGTTATTGTTGGAGGAGATTGTTGTTGGCTCGTCGATAAATCTTTTGACGACGACTTTTACTGGGCTGATATCTTTGGGAATTTCTCTAGAAACTCGGCTCGGGGGATTTGCAATGCTAAAGATATAGCTTCTAGAACTCACCCAGTCTTGTCTTAAGTGAACGGAAATCGTACAATTGTCAATTGACTTGTAGATTTTTTTGGTGGCTCTTTTTCTCCCCGTAATAAATCTCTGTTGAGTTTCTTTATTAAATTTTCCCAATCCTGACATGCCATCAAAGACTGACCTCCTCGCTGGTGACCCTCATCATGAGGGTCTCTCTGTGAAAGTGACAAACTGCAGGCGCTGCGATCGATCTACAGATCGAACGATAAGCCCTAATGGAAAGTGGTTTAGTTGAATCAGAAACAAGTTTCTTGGGTGCCGTTTTCAGAGTACTGTCCATAATTTATACAAGAATTCAGTACAAGTTTTTGTACTGCGGCTTAAGCCGAAGCCCATTCTTTTTGGTGTCTCTTTTTCGGGTGCCAGTCGAAATATGAGAAGTGCGTATAGTATATATAAGGCGCGTTGCTCGCCCCGAATGTTAATGATCCATTAAGCAGATTATGTGCCTGAGTGGCAGAGCGGCGATGTCTGTCTGTACCTCGGTGTATTTCTTCACCAAGAATCTCCCTCTATCTCTTATTCTTTGTATACATATATATAATTTTACGGGTGTCAAAAGTTCGCGCCGCCCAGTTGTCGATTTTTTATTTTTATGAAGTGATTATTTTCCACCAACTAAACGCGCTTAATTGAGTCTTATTAGATTAATTGCCCAAGTGTTAATGATTAGCCAAGTCTCTATTGGATTTAAACAATTGAATTGTATGTGTGTTTTTTATTTCAAGATCTGGCAGACAACGCGGGTAACGCATCTGAGCAAAGAACTGAGGAGCCTAAAGCGAGTCGTCGACAATCTCCAGCAGCGTTTGGGCATCGATTTTCTGGAGGAGTTTGATGAGTTCCAGAAAGAGGTGAGTAATCCGTACATAAATCGAAAAATAGCACCAATATTTGTACTGTCTGTAACATTTGTCTGTGGCAAGCATCTCATGAATTGTTTACCAAGTCGGAAATAATATTGTTTTGTAGGTTTCTTTATGAGGCAAAAATGTTTATTTTTACTAGAGATATGTTTTGGGTGGTTCTTAAAATATAATTCTGATTAGAAAAAGATTTAAAAATGTATTATTTTTAAATATTTTATAATTTTCCCCTTTTTAAATGCAATTATTACTACAAAAATCTATTTTAAACAGTTCTTAAGGTCTCTTAAAGTCTGTCTAAATGAACTAAGCATATTTTAAATGAATTTATTAATAACTTAAAGTCTTAAAATGCATCTCTAAAATATTTTTAAAACTTCGAAGAAAAAACTACTTAGTTGCAAAAACATTTTTGTTCCATTTTTAAAACTAAATTCCTCAGAAGCCACAAAAAAAGGCCTAGATATTTGTAGATATTGTGTGTGGGACAAACATATTTATAGAAATATGTTGCTAAAATAAAAATGTACACATAAATTCAGAGAATTTTCATCAGTTGTTTCCTATTTAATTTTTTGTTGTCTGGGGAATAGTGATAGATTATTTTAATTATAATATCTCCTTCCCCCAGAGAAACACTCAATTAAACTATATATATGAGATAATGTATGGATGTGGCGGCGCCAGCCGTCCAAGTAATTTATGAGATACAAATCCCCAAGTGACACAAGGCAAAAGCCACCATAATTTCTAGTATCTCGAATGGCATATAGGAGAGACGGAAATGTACAAGAGTTTATCGGTCGATATATATCCGTTCAAGGCAAAGTGATCGCTGCTAGACGCTATAAGCATATAACCCAAAAGTGACGATTGATCTGATCTCATCAAAATGGCCCAATGGCCAGAGATCATTTTAAGATTTATTTATATTTTTAATGCCGGGCATCTGTGCAGGCAATTCTCCCAAGAGTTTTTCCTACGCTTTGCTTTCATTTATACAAAATATATGTGGTAAATATATATGGATATAGCGGATAGTATGTTGTGTTATGTTTTTTTCGAGGCGCCATCAATTAGTGGCAATGACGAAACAGCTTTTTGCGGCGTCCAAAAATACGAGGGAGGATTGCCCCAGCTGCAGTCACGTACTTGGCCAAGTGTTCGTTCTGACCCAAAATGCTAAGCCCCCATCATCACCATCATTATCTTCATGTTCATCATCTCTGTTGCAGTACGAGAATGCGCTCATCGACTATCCCAAAAAGCAGGAGGACTTCACGGATGACGACGACATGACTGACGACATGACCGAGGACGAGGATGAGGATGCCATGAACCCCCTTGACGACGAAGATGATATGGAGGATGGAAATGTGGATGGCACCGACGAGGATGAAAACTATACGGACGAGGATGGCACAGATTACGAGGACTACAACGAAATGATAACCAAGTTAAATTCCAAGCTAACCACCGAGGAGGCGGCTGCCACCACGCCCACTTCGGATCCCACCGAGGGCGGCGATTCCAGTAGTGCCTCCAACGATGACAATGTCTTTGACGACTTTACTTCCTATAATGATCGCAAGAAGAAGCAGGAAAGGTAATAAGAAATAATTAATAAATAATTTATAAATAACTTAATATAATAAATAAAATTATTATTTTTATTCCAGAAAATCTCGCTCGATTGCCGATGTGCGTAATGAGCAGCAGATAGTCCAGGGAAATCACACCACACATACCGGCGAGAAGACATCCGATGAGCCCGTAACCAAGGAGAGGTGAGAATTGAATTGAGTCTAAACATTTATGCGGATTGTAAATAAATAATACAAATAAGGGAATTGGAAAATATTCAGGGGAACATATGGTCAAAGACCTGGCAGAAATAAATCAATCTTAAATACGCAGAATATGGATCTTTAAAGAGCCTAAGAATATTCACAAGATTTTAGGAAGGAAAAGAGGAAAATATTATTATTATTAATCGATTTTATAAAGATTTGATATACATGCGATAAATCGATATTCGGTACAACAGAAAAATAATAGTATAATAATTTTAATATTAATATTAAATTAAATTATATTAATTTAATTCCCAGCCCTCCCCACCACCACCGACGCAAAACGCTAACCCGAACGGGTCGCCATCGCATCCTGCCGCGCAAAGGTGTGTAGTCCCCGCAACAATTGGCAATAAACAAAGAAAAACCCAAAAAAATCTATCCATTTGCACCTCTGTTAACTTGCAGGTGAATCTCTTATTTCAGCCAGATCCGGTGACTTGTTCGCCGCCTCCTCTTCATCAAAGCCAGCCGCCCACTTCCATTTGAGTAGCAGAAAGCCACACAACTGGCCTCCAAGTGAGTATATACATATATTTATATATATATCACTTCGAAGATATTAACAACCCAATAACCCGCAGGCTACAATGGTGACATGTACATTGGAAATGCGCCGGAGGAGAGCAAAAGATCCTGGCAGGGTCACTTCAGGGTCGAAGATGGTGTACTCCAGGTGCTCGAGCCGGGCCTGTATTACGTATACGCCCAGATCTGCTACCATAACTCGCACGACCAGAACGGCTTTATAGTCTTCCAGGGGCACAAAGCCTTCCTGCAGTGCCTGAACACAGTGCCCACCAATATGTCCCAGAAGGTGCACACCTGCCATACCAGTGGACTCATCAATCTCGATAAGGATGAGACGATTCACCTCAAAGATATCCACACCGATCGCAATGCCATATTGCGGGAATCGAATAACCGAAGCTACTTTGGCATCTTCAAGGTGTAGAAACCAGAGACAGATGTGGAAACGTTGCCAGTTTAAGCTTTAGTGAATGCGATTCATCGCCAGCGTGTGGATCCATTAGTTCGTAGTGCCCTAGTCTTAGTCACACTCATAACCTAATCTCAATCTGAATCAGGCTCACTGCTATGACGAAGCAGGAATCGCATGAAAATCATATTTATTTTGTATATATATTTCTATAAAAAAAACGTGAATAAATGTCTAGTATAACTTATTTTCCAAAGAAAGCGAAATTGGGTAGCGGCTTTAAAGGTTAATTATTAAGATTAAAATTGATTTATGTGCTAAAAAAAATCATCAGAAGATTAAAGGCAGCAAGAAAGCAGAAGCAAATTCTAAGAATTTTTGAAAGCCTGACCTTTTTTTTTGTTCCCGGAATCGTAAATTATATTATTCAGTGCCTTTTTTGTCCTAGAAACACGCCTTTGCGATTTATTCATAACAAAGAAATTCCACAGAAATATGTTTATTAAAATCCCATGTGTCTTCATTTATTGCTATGACCTGCTTTTCTGAAGCTTTCTAATTGAAATTTCAGCTTAATTTATTTTTTAATAATAAATAGTATAAATAGTGCAGGGGATTGCATCTCTGAGTTATTCAAGGTGCAGTGCTCCCCCCTTTTATTCCTGACCCGGGCAGCGAACCTGTAGCTAGGGCAACTGCAGGTGAAGGAGTAGGTAAAGATGCTGGGATGTTCCCGTTCTGTTGAAGCAACCAGGCACCTGGCAACCCATATAGACCAGAATTCGGAATATTCAGCTGGACATCGAAGGAGGGGTAAAGGGATTGACGCAAGTCGAAGGCTGCAGCGGCCAGAAATGGAATGGAGATTGACAGTCGGCCAAAAGTACAGTTCTCAGTGTTGTGTTTTTGGGGTTTAAGGTGGTATCTTAAAGAGTGTCATTAAAGTTTATTAGGTAAATTAATAAAAATTACTCATACATAAAGTTGCATTTTCAATTTCATACGAATATCACTCATACGCAGTGTGTCATTTTATTAGCCAACTATTGATCACAGTCTTGGCCATTTTATATTTAAAAAATTAAAATTTAAGAGCATTCCAGACTTTTTTGTTTTATATGTTTAGAAGTTTCGCTGGACAAAATGTGTTGATGTGGCGTATACGTGATATGTTGTTGTATTTTTGTAAAAAATTAGGTACATTTTTTGAAGCGAGGATAATTATTAAATAGTACATTTAATTTTAAATATTTAAATTTTGAAAATAATAATAATAGACTTTTTTTTTAAGTGAACTTTAACATGTAATAATAGAAAACAAAAATAATTACTAATAAACATCTAAATATAAGCATTACTACCTTCAATTAGAAGGCATAAATAAAGTCCAGTCAAGGTAATTTCATATCGGTAACAGATTTTTAATTACGTCCACCCCAGCATTAGCGCTAAATAGAAAAAGGCAACAACAGTTGGCCAGGATGTGGGGCGCAAGTAATTGGCGGAATGGCAATTGCAGGCCGTATTTGTAGCAGCGGGCTGAGTAACAGGTGGGCACCAGGCTGAGGCTCAGGCAGCAGCTTCTGATGGTTGTGGAGCAACAGTTCGTTCCCGGAATCAGTATCGACAGAACATGTGTACATAATGGCTCCCCCGCTCCTCGCATCACATTTTCCCGGCCATGCGCAGTGGCCGGGGAGTAGGAAGTCGAAGCTCCGAATACAAAGTCGAAGTCGAAGTCGCAGGGGAAATACCAGACATACTAAGCTTTTGCCTATTTACCTGGATTACCTGCTATGTTTATGTGATATATTTACCTCCTATATTTACCTGCTGTATTTGTACTTCTCAGAATACAACCCACGGCTCTTCGAACTGCATTTAATTTTGTAGCCAAAGCCTAGCTCAGTTGCAGTGCGTTTCGGACTTTGGTGCAGTGAGGTTTGACATTGAGAAGCTGCAGGGATTCAGTTTGAAGTGCTCAGGAATGGTGAGTCCTTGAGGGGAGAGTACAGTCCACAGACAGGTAGTTGAAAAAGTCAACAGGTGGGAATTTATGGGGTTACAAATTCGATAAAAGATTCCTATCTTAAATTAAATACAACAATTATATGTGAACTGCGAAAAAAAAATTACTTTTATATATATATAATAATTGTAATAAAAAATAGATTATTATTTATAACTATATTTTATTAACTTATAATTTCACCGGCTAAAAATCACTAAATATAATTACTCCGGTCTTAAAAAATATTTAATATACATCCAAACGAAAGAGTCCCTAGAGACCTACTCTTTCTTCTTGGCCAACTTCTCCTGGATCTCGTCGAGGGTCTTGCCCTTGGTCTCCGGTATCAGGAGTAGGATAAACACAAAGGCTAAAACAGCAATGACAAAGAAAATTCCAAAGCAAGGACCGGGTCCTATGGAATCGTTTAGAAGAGGAAACAGCATGGTCACAATAAAGGCAAACACCCAGTTGGTAGTGCCAGATATCGCACCAGCCAAAGGCTTGACATCCTCGGCAAATAGTTCTCCTATCATTAGCCAGGGTATGGGTCCAAATCCCACCGAGAATCCGATGATGTACACGCCAAGGCATAACAAGGACAGCCAGCCAACGTTGGACTTCATAAGAAATCCAAAATACACTGCCATCACCATAAGACTGATGCCCATCAGAAAGGCGGAGACCAAGAGCAGGATCCTACGGCCCACACGCTCAATGAGAAGGATAGATGGTATAAGAGCTGCCAGCTGGACCACGCCAATCACAATTGTTGAGAAGCGCGGCTCAAGGTCCGATTTGGCCATGGCAAAGATGGGCGTGGAATAGAACATGACCGCATTGATGCCGGTAAACTGTTGGAAGAACATCAGCGCTATCGACAGGATCAGACCCTTGACGGTGGCCCTCCGGCCGAGCCTCTTGCCGACACTCTCACTCTCCATCTGCTGAACGCCGGTGACGTCCTTCAGTTCGCCGCTCACATCCGCATTCTTGCCTCGTAGAAACTGCAGTGACTTTTCGGCTTTCTCGGTTTTACCCTTTTGCGCCAGATAGACCGGTGACTCTGGCATCCAAATGAACGTGACGAAAAAGACCACTGGACAGATGGCGCAGGCAATGCTGAACCACAGACAGGATGCAAAGGCACCGACTATAAAGCCATACAGAATACCAAGGACGATCTGCAGCTGGAAGAAGCAGCCCATAATGCCGCGTTTCGATAGCTCGGCAATCTCGGTGTTGTACATCGGCGCCGCCACACAGTAAGATGCGCCGGAAAAGCCCACCAAGAAGCGGCCCACTATCAACATGGCCACGTGTTGGGCAAAAATGATGAGCAGCCAGCCAATAAGGAAAGGTAGCACCATTATAAGCATCGTCACCTTGCGGCCAATCTTGTGTATAAGTATCCCAGTTGGTATGCAGGAGAAGGCGCCGCCCATCGTCATCAGGGAACCCACAAGGCCCCATTCCACCGTGTTGGGCTTGAATTTATAGGCGGAGCCATCGAGGATCGCCTCCGCCACGGGTCCTGACCATCCGATCACGGTGCCCAAGGAAAATGCACTCAAGGTGGCCACGAGACCCACAACGAACTGAACCACTTGGCCCATCGTCAGGAATTACGTAACTAACGAATAAAATACAAATAATTTTGATAAAGGCAACTTGAAACACACCTGGCTAAAATGTAACAATAATTTGACAGGTTTTGACACTCTATAGAGATTGACTGGCTTTGCCTTTTTCTATCGATGTTATTTAATAATATGCGAAAAAAGGTATTTAAATTGTTTATTTTTATACCCTTGCAGGGTATTATAATTTTAGTCACAAGTGTGTTACATAGTGAAGGATTCGTTTCCGACCCCATAAATCATATATATTCTTAATCAGCACAAAAAGCGGAGTCGATCTAGCTATGTTTAGGAGAAAACAAATTTAAAAATTTTTTTTTTAATTTTTGAGGTCCTAAAATTCTTAAAATTGTCAAATAAAAATTGGAAAAAATTTCAATTTTTTTAAATTTGAAATTTAGTATGCATTTTCGTTACCCTACAAAAAACTAGCTCAGAAAAGCTTTCCGAATTGAATTTGATGTTTTTTTGGCTTAGATATGATCTTTTTTATAAAAAAAATTACCATTTCAAATATATAAAAGTATTAATTTAAAGAGGGTGAATATTTTAGATCTTCTTGAGGGGTTTAATGATTTTAGTCAGCGAAGGAGTCGTTTCCGACCCCATAAATCATATATATTCTTGATCAGCACAAAAAGCAGAGTCGATCTAGCCATGTTTAGGAGAAAACAAATTAAAAAAAAATTTTTTTAATTTTTGAGGTCCTAAAATGGTTGAAATTGTCAAATAAAAATTGGAAAAAATTTCAATTTCTTAATATGTGAAATTTAGTATGCATTTTCGATACCCTACAAAAAACTAGCACAGAAAAGCTTTCCGAATTAAATTTGATGCTTTTTTGGCTTAGTTATCGGTTTTTGATTAGATGACAGATCCTATGGCAAACAGCAAAGGCATACAAATTTCGGCTTCCCGAAGTTAGTTTCCTTTCTTGTTTTCATTTTAAATTTATATTTACATTATATTTTATACACACAATATAATATATAGATCAAATAATCTTACCAGTTTCTCTGATTTTACTTAATCTTTACTAAACTAAAAAACCTACTTATGTTATTTTTTTCGATTACCCTTGGTGGCTCCTATTTTTTTGCGGTGCTCTAACTTCTCCTCGACGGACTTTGTCCAAAGCGAGCTTGACTGCAGCTGAAAGCTCCTCCTGTCGCCCCTACCACCGCCCACACACGAGGCTCTCCCGCGAAGTCTCCTTCGTAAGCCTCGCGAGTCCTTTCGCCTGCCGTCGTGTCCTGTCGGGCCTCGCGGGTGCTGTATAAAACACGGAAGCTCGAGAGACTGGCCGACACTCTGGGCTCCGCTTTGGCTGCGAACAGAGAGGTGGGTACACAGTGGCTCCTGGCCAAAAACACAAGCGACGAGCGTCTCCTTTGTGGCGTAGGCGTGACGCCATGTTGTGAAAAGTGTCTGGCAAAAATAAAAATCCAACCGAGAAAATAAAATAACAAAAGTGAAAATTCGCAAACAAAAACTGCACTCGAAAAGTCCATCCAAAAGCCAAGTGAGTGTGTAAACTTTTGTCGGCCAGTGTGGGGGGAAAATTACGCAAATGCTGCGCCAGGATTTTCTTCATTTCCATTGATTTCGCCTGCTGCTGTGGTGTGTGTGTGTGTGTGTGGGAGTGTGTACACATATAGATATACATATATATGTATATTCAGAGAAGTGTGTGTGTGTTATGGGTGGGGGGCAAAAATAATTGCGTATAATTTATTTGCAACTCTCAGTTGTCACTAATTGGACAATGGATGTGATGAATTGTTTGCTGGCCTGTTGACAAATACCTCGGGCACACACATTTCCCTGAAAAAGATACACACACACAGGACACACAGAACTCCCAGAAACGCTAACTTGGCTAACAAGTTGTTACTTCTTGCCCCAAGGACTCAAAGGACTTTTTGCTTGCCTTTAAATATTTTAAGTCAAAAAAGCTTTTTCCCGGCCTTCCCTCTAATTAGCTCCAGTTTTTCCCCATGCCAACCAAAGTGCATTCACTTAGAGGACCGGCACAAAATGCCGGATTCAATTTGGCCCAATTTGTTGGCAAAAAAAAACAAAAAAAGGAGCAGAGCAGAGCAAGGACTCCTCTTTTTATGGCGGAGGTATATATAGCGAGAGAGGAGCGTGTGTCCTGGTGTATCCTTGGTATCTGCGACAAATTCAATTAGGACGCTAATTTAAATGTCCCGCTGGGCTTCTGGGAGTCTGATTTCGTGGGGCAAAACTAGGATCTGCTCTGCGGAAATTCAATAAATTATTGGCACCAACTCGGAGAGTCCTTTTAATGTGGGGCTAAAAACTGTAAGGCAATGGTAATGTCAATCAATATTAATCATACGCCCTGTTGGACAGGCAAAGTATGAATAAAAGTTGGTTGATAATTTGGTTATTTCTTAATTGTGGGAAGTGTTAGTTGAAGATTAAATTTAAGAGATAAATTCAGAATAAAGTTTAATTTGTGAAAGGTGTAGCATGGGGAAAGAGAAGAGGAGGACCACCTGTTAGCTGTTGGCTTTGGCCATTAAGTACATTTATTTTAATAAAAAAAAATGTGTAAATATAAAGAAAATAGTAAGGAAATATATTTAGTAAATTTAAATAATATACAGAGAGAAGTTAGGTATAATTTAGTAATTTTTTTTATCAAGAAAAAATTTTCCTATAATATTATAAGTTAAAAGGTAAAATAATCCTTAAAATTCCCTATTAAAACTTCTTTTAAAAAAGAAGAATATCCGTTAATGGTTCCAGTCAAATCATCACCTGCAAAATCTTTAAAATTTCCCTACTTTGAACACAATACCCAACCCCAATTATTAACCCTTTTAATTCGAGTCTGGAATACTGCATAACTCAGAGCAACAGGCGCACAAACCCTTTTCAAAATTATATATATATGATGCAATTGTAGGAAAATGAAATCTGCTTTGTGCAGCTGCTTTTAATCCAGATTAGAGTCGCCAGAAGACGACGACGACGACAACTGGGGGACTCGCAGACTGGTTTCCCTTAGACAAAAGTCAGCCAAGCAGCAATAATACAATGAAAGGAGCAAAAACAAACCAACAGCTGCAGGCGAGACGCAAATAGGGTCCTTTTCAGAGGGGCTACAAAAAATATTAAAAGGAAAAACACTTCTAGAAAAAGCGCAGGAGTACGAGAAAGCCAAAGAAAAGCGACGGCTGCCTTGACATTTAATAGCAGGGGAAAGAGAGAAAAAAAGGAAAAAGCTAACGTTGCCACAGGTACGAGATAAGTGGAAAAAACTACAGGTGAAAAAAAAAAGAGAGCAAGCTACGTCTTCTATGATTACCATATATTCCATTTCCGAGCCATATATTTCCTCCTCCAAGGAATGCGTAGCATACTTAACAGCGTCGCCATAAAACGAAAAGAACGAGTGGGAGGAGCAGGACTTGGATGAGCATTTCAATGGCAGGAGCAGTTGGCATTTTGTCAGCTCTCGGCTTTTGTCAGCGACCAAGAATGCTGAAAGTTTTCCCTCCGCCCTCTCAACCTTCTCTAATTTTGTGAAAGATGCTGGGAATTTGCACGCACATTGGAATTTTATTGATTTATATATATATACATAAAATATATATGTACATGAGGGAAGGCTCTTTTAGTCAGGATTCCCTTCATTAGTTAGTCGGATGCTATGGCCGGATTATTCAAATACCAAATACCTTTTGTTGGCCCGGAATTTTTGGGTACCTGCTGTTCTTCCGCCTGCTCGTTTGCATAATTAATACGGTGGGGCAAATATGGAATTTCACACGCCATCAACTGGCCGCGAAAAGATGACACCTTCACACACACACACATACTAACACCTGGGACTAAAACCCCACCCACGCACACACACACACACCTACACACGCTCCTCGCCGGAAGGTACCTATATAAGACCTTACTTTAGAGTGCAAATGTAATTAAAAGTTTTTTTACGCACCTGCTCGGAAACGTGTCGGGCATTAAAATCAGTTTTAATGCCTTTAACGTTTCGACCGTTTTAACTGGACCGTTCTTTAACCCAATTTTTGATATATGAATTTATTTTTTTCACCTGATAAAAGCTGAAATGGTAGCTTAAAATGTATTTCATTTGAAGCATATTTTATGCGGTTAATGCTATTACATATTTGCTATTTCTTAGTTACTCACCTTAAACAAATTATAATTTTCCAAGTATTAAAACTATTATCTCTTAATCTATATCTACATCCTCTCCAACCCCTTCTAGTTTCAGTTTTAGAACCAATTTCATTGAGCAGAAGAGAGGGAGGCAGCTGCTAGCTCGTGAAAATGGCCAGCAGTTTTTTGAGATCCCAGATCCCCTCCTGGACGTCAGCGGCCATGATGGTGATGCTGCTCCTTGGCGTGATTATGCAGTGCATCCAGGCGACACCGCAGCGCACGGCTGCCTATTCGCTGCAGGCGGCTGTGGACGAACTGCATCGACGGGAGGCGGCCAAGTATCCGTTGAATGCTCCGCCACCGCCATCCCTCGACGATTGGGACGAAGGTGAGTGGTCTGGCTTAATGGGAAAATGGCTTCCCTCGGGGTGAATGGGTATAAGCGAAGCCATAACCTTACCAGGATAACTTAATCAAACAATATTCCCCCAAGAAATATGAACTTTGATTAACCTTCAAGTGAAAGCTCTAGGCGAGTCCTTAGTCCTTAGACCTTTAGTTGCTTGTCACCTGTATTTGTTTTGTAGTTTATCTTTTTTTAGAAAAGCGTTAGCGTTTATTTTCTTTTATTTGTTGATTAATTGTTTAAGCTTTTTTTAGTAGAAGGGAGAATTATAACTTTAATTATTTGATTTTGTTTACATTTTTCTTTGCAGTTTAAAAACTGCTTTTTTAAAATAAAAATGTATATTTGTTTAAATTAGGTTTAAAAGAAATTAATGAAAAGTTGTATTAGCTTCTTTTTTAATAGCAGTAAAATAATATTTAGTTTAGCTAAACCATAAAATACGCATACCAAGTTCAATGTTCCCAGAAAACCTTATAGTTAAAAGATTATACATTAAAAACCTATCTCAAACCTAAAAACCACCTCATTTTAAACAGGATAAAGCCTTGTTATACTTCCAAATCAATGACGTTTTTGCAATATGCCACTTTAGTCAAATGCAGAGACATTCTCAATATTATTATTAGATTTATGTGACTGCAATGAAGATGATGGGCTGTCAACTGCATGCATAGATTTATACAAAGACCCCGTCGTGTCCGAGTTCCAATCAGAATCTGAATCTGAAACCGAAACAGATATCCTTCGCTGGCAGGAGAAAACATAAAGAAGAGCAAGCGGATAAGCAAAAGTTGACCCGCATGTAGAGTGCACGTGCCTTGGAAAAGCGAAGCCCCTCTAAGCACACAGATTTTCCGGATTTTCTCCCCCCCTCCTCACACTCCTCTCACAAGTCACATTTCTCCGTTTTCTTTCCTCTCTTTTGAACACACGAAAAATAACACCACACCAACACGAACACGAACACCCCGCAAAAAACCCCCACAGATGGCGATTTATTTGGCAAGAATAGGAATCGGAATCGCCATCGAGTTAACAAGGCACTCGGCAAGTACTTAGAACGCGAGGACGAGGACAACTACGGTCAGGATCACAACCTGGGTCTGGGCTTGGGTCTGGGATTGGGACTGGGACTGGGCCACAGTACGGATAGTGCGAATAATAATCTGCTTTTGGCCGATGAGAAGAGAAAGCGCTTTTCTTCTTTTCGGGAACGTGACGAGCAGTTCGGTAAGTAAAGAATCACAAAGCCACAAAGAGCACCAAGCACTAAGAGCACCCAAAGCACTGAAAGCACGCACTACGAAATGGACACCCACAGTGGGGGTCATGTCATTAGCACAGCACAAAAAATAATATATACAAAATAAAGTAATTTATGAAAAGTTAATTTTTATAAAGGTCTTAGTTGTAAAAATATTGGAAAAATTTAAAAAAGGTTGAACAAATCTCTAAAAATTATTTAGAGCTTTGGAAAATTATAATCTATTTAATTCATTATTATTCCTTTCATAAGTTCGGCAATTTTATTTATTTTTTTAATGAGCTAGATTTAAGAGTGATTTAATATTTATAAAAATGTGTCTTAGAGTATGCAACAACATTTTTAGGTACCAAATTCATTAATATTTTTTATACCCTTGCAGGGTATTATAATTTTAGTCAAAAGTGTGTTACATAGTGAAGGAGTCGTTTCCGGCCCCATAAATCTATATTATTGATCAGCACAAAAAGCGGAGTCAATCTAGCCACGTTTAGCCGAAATTAAAAAAAAAAAAAAAAATTTTTTTGTTTTTGAGGTCCTAAAATTGTTGAAATTGCCAAAAAGAAATTGCCAATAATTTCAATTTTTTTACATTTTAAATTTAGTATGCAGTTTTGTTACCCTAGAAAAAACTAGCACAGAAAAACTTTTCGAATTGAATTTGATGCTTTTTTGGCTTAGTAATGATTATTTTTTATACAAAAATTACCATTTAAAATATATAAAAATATTCATTTAAAGACAGTGAATATTTAAGATCTTTTTGAGTGGTTTTATGATTTTTGTCAGCGAAGGAGTCGTTTCCGACCCTATAAATCATATATATTCTTGATCAGCACAAAAAACCGAGTCGATCTAGCCATGTTTAGAAGAAAAACATTTTTCATAATTTTGTTTTGTATTTTTGAGGTCTTAAAATGGTTTATAGTCACAGAAAAAATGAGCAAAAATTGTAATATCTTAAAATTTGAAATTAAGTAAGCAGATTTGTTTATCTGGGAAAAACTAGCACAGAAAAACTTTCCGAATTGAATTTGATGCTTTTTTGGCTTAGTTATGATTATTTTTTATAAAAAAAATTACCATTTAAAATATATAAAAATATTCATTTAAAGAGTGTGAATATTTAAGATCTTCTTGTGGGGTTTTTATGATTTTAGTCGGTGAAGGAGTCGTTTCCGACCCTATAAATCATATATATTCTTGATCAGCACAAAAAACCGAGTCGATCTAGCCATGTTTAGAAGAAAAACATTTTTCATAATTTTGTTTTGTATTTTTGAGGTCTTAAAATGGGTTAATTGTCACAGAAAAAATAAGCAAAAATTGTAATATCTTAAAATTTGAAATTAAGTAAGCAGATTTGTTTATCTTGGAAAAACTAGCACAGAAAAACTTTCCGAATTGAATTTGATGCTTTTTTGGCTTAGTTATCGGTTTTTGATTAGATGACAGATCCTATGGCAAACAGCAAGGGTATATGTACATATTTCGGCTTCCCGAAGTTAGTTTCCTTTCTTGTTTTTAGATGTAATTTTGGACTCCTTTTAAAGATTTTAAAAACCCCTGTCACTGTTAAAAAAATAAAATTATAAGTATAATTATTTTTATAATAAATATTAGGCATACCAACGAAATTGCAAAGGTTTCAAAATCCCCTCAAATTCAGTCTATAAAAGTGTGGTTCCTTGATTTACCCACTTGTTGGGCACACATTGAATATATTTAAATGAAATGAAATTATGGCCTCCCTGCATAAATTCTATTTCTAAAATTGATGAAAGGTCCAAGAAAAGCCTGATTTAGGACCAAACTAATGGTTTTCCCTCTGCGCCCACTGAAAAGTGTTGTCCTGTTGAATGCTCATTGCCTAGAATAATTTATGGATGGACCCCCAAAAATTCCTAAGTGCTATTATCCTGACCCAAACTGTGTGTGCAAAGCCTGAAAGCGTGTCCACTTGAGGCGCCAAATAGTAAGAGAATTGAGTGGATAAGGCCAACACAATGGCCTGGCTAAAACCACTTAGCTCCGATTAACTTGTGAGTGGGCGAAGTTAGAAGTGGAAAGCCCAATGCCCAAAGCCCGATGCCGGAATGATGAATGCAATCAGCTGGAAGCGGGTCCTATCCGAACCGACAGATCCTGTCCGCTTGCCGCCTGTCTTCCTGTCATTTGATTTAATGGCCGGCCCAACAACTTGATGCATGTCCCTCCTCCACGCACACACACACACGAAGAGAATTTATTGACCGGGCTCAGTGCGTTCTCTGGGTCTCCTCAAGGTCAAAGTTAAGTCGTCGGGCAGTCCATCAATACGGGGGAAATGCTCTGCCAATAATAATTGAGTTTTAATTAATTTATTGTAATGTGGGGAGAAAGATCTATAGTCAAGGATGTTTACTTAGAGGAGGAGAAAGCTATTGATTGGAAAACGTTTAAGATGGTGCCTATGCTGTTATTTTTTTAATTAAATAAAACACAATACAATTCTTGGGAAATAAAAGATTAGTTTTAAAATGATATCCAAATTTAGATAACATTTTTATAATACATAGGTATACCTACGGCTATTTATTATTATTAATTAATTTAAAAAATTTAATTTTCAAATGCTGTCTAAAAGTATGTACATACTTTTAAGGTTTTTTTTAAATTTATTTTAAATTACTCTCAAACTTCTTTTAACCTAAATAATCCAATTTCTTGGAGTAACGATACAAAATATTTAAATTCAATTATTTGTAATATCCTTTTCGAACCCAATATTTACTACTAAACCTAATCCCTTCACCCAATCTCTTCCAGATGGACCCGTGCCATCGGTTTTCCGTGAGCGTGAGAATCAGCCCTTGAACGCCGAGCCCTCACACAACGAGCTGACGGAGCAGTTCCTGCGCGAAATTGAGGAGGCCAGGGAACGGGATGCTGTGCGTCAATGGTGGCGTCACCTGGACCAGGCCAAGAACCAACAGGACCTAGAGCCAGAGCTCCAGCCCCAGGATGCTGAGCTCTTCGAGCAGAAGAAACGCATGCGAGTGCCGCCCTACTACCTGTTGATGCAGAAGAAGCGCTCCTATCCGGTTCTCCCCTGGCTGCCCTACAACGGCGACAAGCGGAAGCGCTTCCCGGTGGCCAAGCGTAGCACCTCCAGCTCCAGTCCAGAGTCACCGCTGGGCAGAACAGATGAGCGGGTAGCCCAGGAGCTAAGCGAGCTCTTTGGCAAGCCCAGCGAATCGCAGTCGCATCCCGAGGAGAAACGCAAGCGTTCAGCAGATGAGCCCAAGGCCACCACCACACGTACTCCCGAGTCGCCGCCAGCCACGGCCACAGCTCTGGGTGATATGCGTCTGGAGATTAACTTCCAGCGGGTGAATGTGACCAGTGTTACGCCCAAGGAGGCGCCTACCCTCTCCCCTCCCTCTGGCCCCGGAGAGATGGTACAACATGGCGGTCATGCTGGACACCATGGTGGTCATGTCCCTGGAATGTTGCCGGAATATCGCCATCGAAAGCGTAGTGACCACAATCACGGCGAGAATCCTGAGAATCCTGAGGAACCGGAAACCGATGAGCATGATGAGGAGGGTGAGGAGAGCTCCGATGAGGATGATCATGATGAGTTTGATGAGGAGGATGGCGACGAAGCAGAAGAAGCCGAAGAGCGGCGACGAAAGAAGAAGCGAGCTGCTGCCGGTGGTCTCTCTGGGATCGGGGAAAACTCCAAGCACCTGCATGCCCCCACCGTGGGCCACCTGATGCTCCGAGCCAAGAAATCCATTGATTGGTCCCAGTACTTTGGGTTGGATCGCAAAAAGAAGTCCTCCGCCCAGGGCAATGAGTGAGTTAACCAAGAAATTTCCTAGAAATCTATATGATTTCAGCCTCTAATCCTTCCTAATCCTCCTTCATCCTTCCAGACAACTAAAAAAACGCAGCGATGCGGACACCAGCCATGACGAGGACGACGATGACGATGATGACACCGATGATAAGTCCGGGGAGGAGAAGAAAAAGCGCAACAATCTGGATGTCGAGAAGCTGGAGAGCATGGACAAGAAGCTGCAGTCCATCGAGGACTTTATCATTGACGAGACCATCAAGTATACCGGAGCCCACGAGGGTCTCAATAGCCGGGATGATATTCGCCGAATCAAGGATCATGTCCTCTCCCGCCTGGCCACTGCTTACAGTCTGGAAAAGATGCGTCGAGCTCTGGACAAGCTCAGGCGATCGGTGGACTCTGACAATCACCTGTTGCGCAATGCCATTGAACCCGAATCGGAGGAGAACTCACTGAACTCCAACTATTGGCAGGCCAAGAAGTCGGTGAAGAAGGACCAGGCTGATGAGGAGGAAGCAGAGCAGGAGGGTGTGGTGAGACATCCCAAGGATATGGATAAGAAAAAGCGCAGTGGCGGATATCTACGATATCCAGAGCAGCCAAACACCATGGAGGAGGCCCTCAGTCTGGGAGGTGCACCCTACGAGACGCTCAACGATGCCTATTTGGGCAACAAGAACTACATCATAGGCTCCAACCAGTGTCCCATTATAGAATCCATGGCGGAGAGATGCCGCGGAGTGGATCTGATCTCTGGGGACATCAACCAGGAGCTGTTGCCACTCTGTGGAGTCCATCAAATATGTTATCTTTGTGGAGCCTCTCAGGTTGCCTGCGACTACCAGTATCTGGCGGAGGCGGATGGCATCTGTGGCGACAGCAACGATTGCCAATCGGCGGCCAGATCCATCCTGATGATCCTGCGTGGTTCCCCCGGCCGGCAGCTGGGTCCCAGGGAATGCTTGAAAAATCCCTGCCTGTACAGGGCAATGCGGGAGATTGGGCTTTAAGCGGTTTTTCCAAAGCAGACTGCCGCCCAGCGTTTTCCTAACGTCTTTTTGTGTGCGTTTAAAAAGAAAAACCAAAATCGAAAACATAAAATAAATAAAACCAATGCCAGAGAGAGAGAAGATATAAAAATGAGCCCAAAAAAGGATATATAAGAAATGAAACCACGCTGAACTTAGCAAGATCAAATATTTGATTCAAAACTAAAATATTTTGATGGATTTTCCTGACTGCTGTCTGGCGGCAGCAGCAGCCAACTAGAGTTTACCAGATACCTAAAGAGATCATATATATATATATATATATTATAATATATATGTATACAAACAATAACGATTCAGTTCAAGGCTCTTTAATTTGTTTTGATTTGAAACAGAAAATAGAAATATAAACAGAATTTTTCGAAACATATTTGCAAGTTATATATGCATGTTTAAATGTACAAAAAAGTGATCATAACCGAAACATATATAATGTATATGTATGTGCGTGTAATTAATCCACAAGAAACAGAAACAGCTTTTTAAGTAACACTTCTTAAATTCGCTTGACGACATTCGGGAATGAAAAATGTAAAGCCCAGCTCACAATTGGCAGCTAGTCCCCCAGATCAAACTTGTAACCAGCTTTCGTTTGACTTGGATGTGCAGAGAACATACATACCACATAATATACTATATATATATATATCGATTTTAGCATAAAATACACTTGGGAATGATGATGAGTGACAAGGAGCTAAGGGGGTATCCTATCCAACTCTTCTTATCAGGAATCTCTTTCTCTCTTCACCCCGTGAATGTGTTTCAAAGTGCATACAATAAGAACAACAGCATGACTAAGACAAATATTTTATGCTCTTAAAACAAATCTATAGATGTGATTATATAATATATACACGCGACAGGAGTTTAATAAATGTGTAAATCTTTTAGTAATGGCAAATAACAACAGGGTCTCATTGACATCCGAGGCTTTACGGTTGCTAAATCAAAATATTATTAATGTGTATTTACATATAAACGAACAAATATATATATATATTTAAACTTGATGTATATGCTACAGTTTGCGTAAACAAAAAAAAGAAAACCAAAACCAAAAGAAAATATTTGAAAATATTTATTGCTATACAGTTATCATAAATGTCGAATATAAATGTGGGATTGGACCCTAGAGAATTAATGGTTTTTTAATTTCTGGATTTTGCGGGAATTTTCGTGGCACCTGGGAAATGATTACCACAAAAATTATAAAATGACGATAAAAAGTTCCTAAAGAAAGGCAAAAGAGTGATTATGCCCCTTCCTTCAACCACTAAACATATTGGCTGCGCCCTTTGTCAATGTTTAACAATTTTCAAAATTTGTTTACTCAAGAATTTTTTATTTATTTTATTTTATATTATTATTAAAAAAACAAGAAAGGAAACTAACTTCGGGAAGCCGAAATTTGTATACATGATGAGTATATAGGATGAGCCATAGGATCTGTCATGCAATCAAAAACCGATAACCAAGCCAAAAGAGCATCAAATTCAATTCGGAAAGCTTTTCTGTGCTAGTTTTTTGTAGGGTAACGAAACTGCATACTAAATTTCACATTTTAAGAAATTGAAATTTTTTCCAACTTTAATTTGACAATTTCAACAATTTTAGGACCTCAAAAATTAAAAAAAAATTTTTTTTTTTTAATTTTGGCTAAACATGGCTAGATTGACTCCGCTTATTGTGCTGATAAAGAATATATATGATTTATGGGGTCGGAAACGACTTCTTTGCTGACTAAAATCATTAAACCCCTCAAGAAGATCTAAAATATTCACCGTCTTTAAATTAATACTTTTATATATTTGAAATGGTAATTATTTTTATAAAAAAGATCATATCTAAGCCAAAAAAGCATCAAATTCAATTCGGAAAGTTTTTCTGTGCTAGTTTTTTCTAGGGTAACAAAACTGCATACTAAATTTCAAATTTAAAAAAATTGACATTTTTTCCAATTTTTATTTGTCAATTTCAAGAATTTTAGGACCTCAAAAATTAAAAAAAAAATTTTTTTTTTTATTTTCGGCTAAACATGGCTAGATCGACTCCGCTTTTTGTGCTGATCAAGAATATATATGATTTATGGGGTCGGAAACGACTTCTTTGCTGACTAAAATCATTAAACCCCTCAAGAAGATCTAAAATATTCACCCTCTTTAAATTAATATTTTTATATATTTAAAATGGTAATTTTTTTTTAATAAAAATGTCATATCTAAGCCAAAAAAGCATCAAATTCAATTCGGAAAGCTTTTCTGTGCTAGTTTTTTGTAGGGTAACAAAACTGCATACTAAATTTCACATTTTAAGAAATTGAAATTTTTTCCAATTTTTATTTGACAATTTCAAGAATTTTAGGACCTCAAAAATAAAAAAAAATTTTTTTTTTTTTAATTTCAGCTAAACATGGCTAGATCGACTCCGCTTTTTGGGCTGATCAAGAATATATATGATTTATGGGGTCGGAAACGACTCCTTCGCTGACTTAAATCATAAAACCCTTCAAGAAGATCTTAAATATTCACTGTCTTTAAATGAATATTTTTAAATATTTTATATGGTAATTTTTTTATAAAAAATAATCATAACTAAGCCAAAAAAGCATCAAATTCAATTCGGAAAGTTTTTCTGTGCTAGTTTTTTCAAGATAAACCAATCTGCTTACTTAATTTCACATTTTAAGATATTAAAATTTTTGCTAATTTTTTCTGTGACAATTAACCCATTTTAAGACCTCAAAAATACAAAAAGAAATTATGAAAAATGTTTTTCTTCTAAACATGGCTTGATCGAATCCTCTTTTTGTGCTGATCAAGAATATATATGATTTATGGGGTCGGAAACGACTCCTTCACTATGTAACACACTTTTGACTAACATTATAATACCCTGCAAGGGTATAATAATTTAATTAATAATATGTCCTTAAGGAGTTTTGAAATATACTTTTTGTACAACTCGTTGAACAAACCAAAATTTAACTAAGTTTAAAAATCTTTAAATTAAATTTGAAAAGCTTTTCTTAGCTATATATATATACATATTTTTTTTTTTGGGTGAACAAACTTGCATGTTATCTTTTTAATTTGAAATTAATTAAATTAATAAGTCATTTCATTTAATTTTTTACAAAGTTCTCCGAGTAATGACTTAAATTCAAATTTAACGGAAAAGTCGCCAAGTTTACCTGTTGGCCCCAGCGGTTAGTGTCCCTACTATATGGTTTTTTTACCCACTAAAGGCTCCAAACCAAAAATGTCCTAAAAAGGCCACCTATTATCCCACCGGCAGTCTCCTGCCGACTGGTCACACTGGCACCGAAATTACCTAATTTTTTGTTAAGATGCGTTCCACCTTGTTTTCCGGCGCCTCGAGGCTCTTGAGATATAACCGGAATGGCCAGTTTCTGACTCGAACGAAAAGCACCAAGGCCACCTCCACCAGCTTGGACCAGCAGCAGCAGGATGCGGCGGCCAGGAGCGACGGAGGAAGGCCGGAATCCGTGGAGGAGTCCCAAGAGGAGCAGCAGAAATTGCCCACCCGGGAGCCGCTGGTCAAAAACTTCTTCATCGGTGTGGTGGACAAGGAACTGCTGGCCTACCCAGAGGTGATCCAGCGCGAGGAAATGGCCCAACTTCAGAATTCTCTGCTGCCGCTGAAGAATTACTTTGAGGAGCAGCGGGAAGCGGAGGCGGAGCAGCAAAAGCCCACGGAGATCTACCGGCAACTGGGACTCTACGGCCTGAATGCCCCCACAGACTACGAGGGCAAGGGTTACGGCTGGAGCGCCAGCTTAATGGCCAGTGAACCGGATTCCAAGGACACAAATGCTTCTCTCAGCCTGCAGTCACACCGCGTCGTGGTGGATCTACTCAAGGAGCTGGGCACGCCCCAGCAGCAGCAGCGTTACTTGCAGGACCTGGCCACTGGTGTCCTGATAGCCACCGAGGCCATCTATGAGTACTCCCCGCCCGAAGAGGATTACTTCAGCACCAAGGCGGAGTTCCTGCCCGAAACGGGCAAGTGGCGGCTCAACGGGGAGAAGGCCTTTGTGGTCTGTACACCCGGACAACGGCAATTGTTCTTGGTCCTGGCCCAGACACAACAACCAAATGTCCCCGGGGCCGTGGGCCGTGGAACCACAATTTTCCTGGTGGATTCCCAGCAGGAGGGTGTGCGTCTGGGCGAGAAACATGCCACCTTTGGCTGCCGCCAGGCGGATATAAGAAGGATACACTTTGACCAGGTGCAACTGGGCGAGGAACAGGTGGTGGGCATTGCCCACGATGGCAATCGCTACTCCGAGCAGCTGGTAAGATCTTCCAGGCTAAGAGGCAGCCTGGCAGGAGTGTCGCTGGCCAAGAAGCTGTTGAATGAACTGGCCCAGTACACGGTGACGACCAGTCAATGTGGCGTGCAGCTCAAGTAAGTAGAAGGAGATTCTACCGGACTAAAGCAAGCTTATGGTACAGGTATCTCTCTTCCCTAGGGACCTAGAGCTCACCCGCGTCCACTTGTCCCGCGCCGCCTGCTCTGTCTATGCCATGGAGAGCATGCTCTACTTGACCGCCGGCCTGCTGGACGAGTTCCGTTCCCAAGATGTGACCCTGGAGAGTGCCATTACCAAGTTCTTTACCCTGAGGCAGCTGTATGAGATTGCCACCCAGAATCTGGGTCTGGTGGGGCCCAAGAGCCTGCTCAGTGGTGAGGCCACGGAGCTGGGACTCCGGGATGCCGCTCAGCTGTGCACGCAGGGTGAATCCTTGGACACGCTGGGCATGTTCATTGCCCTCACGGGTTTGCAATATGCGGGGGTGAGTTTATTTTTGAAAATCTTTTAGAATCCTGTTTACTAATCCCAACTTTCCTCCCCTACAGCAAGCCATGAATGCAGGTGTGCGCAAATCCAGGAATCCTCTCTTCCATCCGGGACACATCTTTGGCAAATTCCTGGACACTAACAGCATAGACAACCCAAAGACCAAGATGCAGCTGGGCGAGCATGTTCATCCCTCGCTGGAAGCTGCTGCCCAGTGCATTGAGCAGTCGGTGGCTCGTCTCCAAATGGCCGTAGAGCTGATGTTCACCCGCCATGGCAATGCGGTGGTGGAGCGTCAGAGCGAGATGCAACGCCTGGCGGAAGTGGCCACCACCATCTATGCCATGTGGGCCAGTACCGCACGAGCGTCGCGTTCTTATTGCATTGGCCTGCCGCTGGCGGATCATGAACTGCTGACGGCCACGGCTATATGTTCCCAGGGCAAGGATCGGGTTCACACTCTGTGCACGGAGATCTTTGGCGGTAATTTCGTTAACAATGACAATAACCTGGTGCGTCTCTCCAAGCAGCTGACCAAGAGCAAGGGCTACTTCCCAGTGCATCCGCTCACGTTTAACTTTTAAGTTTTAAGACTATGAATGCCTTTATCATTAAAAGTAAATAATTGTTATTGATATTATGGAGTTTAGTTGCAAAAAGGGGATGTTTTTAAATCAAATAAATGAAATAAACTTAATTTTTTGGTAAAATGTTTAGAAAGCAAGCAGTGCAATGATCAAGCAGTGCACTACCTACCCTAATTAGGAACAATTTAAAATAAAATCGTACGTGTTCGATCACGTTAGTCCGGTTCCATTTCGTCCCGCTTGTTGCTCTTTCCGACCATCTTCATGCCCAAAAATAAATGTATAATTTTTTGTTAGTTTTTCTTTTTAATGAAATGGTTCAAATTATTCTTGTTCTTTTAGTCTTGTGTCTTAAAATAATAACAAAGGATTGTTGTAACTTCTTAAAATAAAAACATAGTCTTCTTTTAACTTTCTGTATCTTAAGATAATAGGATTTTTCTGATTTCTGAAATTGTTAATATTTAACCTCTTATTTGTTCTTGTGTCCTTTGGATTCTTGTAACTTCTTAAAATATAAACATAGTCTTCTTTTAACTTTTTGTATCTTAAGATAATAAGATTCTTCTGATTTTTGAAATGGTTAATATTTAACTTTTTATAATAATGATGTATTTGAGCATACTCATGGTAGTATATAATAGTTTTCGATCTCCGGTTCTATTGGGAGATATTTCAGCCCTGCAGCGACTGCAAAGCCGTCCACATTAGAAAAGACATGTTTTAAAAATCTGGTCTCCACACAGCCAGGTTGATAGGGAGCATTCATGATGGTGAGAATTCGAATCATTTCTTCATCGGACTTTGCAATCCTTATTAGTTCTCTTTTAAATTCTGCCTTTTTGATAGTATTTCCCAACTCGCTCTTTGCCTTATCCGTCACCATCCATAGTAACAAATTAAAACGCCGGCGGGCGTCTTGCGCGTCCTGGGAAGGATAATCCAGATATCCGTTTCCTCTGCCTTCTCCACCGTGAATATGAAAGACATTTACGTTGCAGCCACGGCGGCGAACTCCACCGTTGTAATGCACATTGACTTTCATCTAAATTTAAATTAATAAGGATATATTAAATGTATGTAAAACTTTGCACACACACACATTTGTAGAACAGAAACTACGCATTTGTTGTAGGAACTACATGCAACGAAGAACGGTTCAAAAAGGAATTCGAAAATCGGCGCGTCTCTGTCTTCTTTATTGTAGTGTGTGTGTGTGCCTGAATCGAGGATTCAGCCGTACAAACTATGGAAAATGTACTTACTTCTTGATAAAAACAATTGCACAAAGCAATGATACTATGTCGAATAGATCTTAATAATCTTAACCAGCCAAATTGGAGCGACGCCAGAAAGTTCTTCCGAAGAGTTTCAAAGTTTAGAGTGCCCATTTGTAAGCGCCTGAATAATCCTTTTCAAAAACCTCTATAGCGTGATAACGATGCTTTCACAATCGATATTTTTGAAATTCTAGCTAAAAATTTAGCGTTAAAGCTAACCCGGCTGACAATTGATAGGGCCGTTTGCGCCATGATATAATTCTATCATGGTTTGCGCTGCACCAGAAATACCATAAATGTAGCACCTATCAATAATGAACATAACGAAAGAAGAAGCAAAGTAAATCCGCGACGAAAGAACGCGCAAGGTTGATCACCCGGGAAAAATTAAAGATTGATTGGACGTGCTAAAAACGAAACAAAACAAAATCTGAAGATAATCGCAAGATAAACTTAAAGCTACTAAATCAAATCTATCAAAATATGAACATTAAAGTAAACCACAATTATGATGATTGATTCTTGAGCAGCGTATCGCGGGCGCTCGCATTTTAATCCATTATTGTCAATTTTTAATTGCAATACAAAGTAATACAACGAATGAGTAAGCAAAGGAAATCGCAATAAATTTGTTCAACGGCAAAACCCCGTCGGAAACGCTGGAAATTGCGCGTGTGCGGGTGGAACAGAGTGACACTCGGCGTGAAAATCATCGCCAAGGAAAAGGCGGAAAAGAGGAAAAACGCCCGCGGCGAAAATTATTTGGGTGCGAGCGGGTGTCGGTGTGTGTGTGTGTGCAAAACAGCACAAAAAAGCAGAGAAGTTCGAGAAATTGCAAAAAGTGTGTGTGTGTGAATGACGAAAGAAAAGTCAATTGGCGGCGATTAGCAGTTGAAGTTTAAGCAGTTCAAAAGAAGCCGATTCTAACGGTAAGCTTATATTTTCTTTTGGCATATAAGGAAATAGGAAACACATTCAAATTAAAGAGGAAAAACACCTTGAAATGTCTGGAAAACCCCCTTTTTAATTGGTTATTCCCCTGCTGCAATATATTTTTATTACACTTACACCCTTAAGTAACTCCCGCAGAGTTCGATATTAACCCCGCCCCTTTCTCATTTAAACCAGCCGCTACCTCAGCCCCGCACCCACCTACCTTTCGCCTCCCACCTTTTAAAAACCGCACAAAAAATTACAAACAAATAAAATCGGCAGAAAACCGAAGCGCATGAAGAAGAAAAAGAAGCAGTAGCGTCGTCGAATCCAGTCCTTCATTCCATTTCATTCGTTCCACATGGTGCAAGACGCGTTGTTGTTGTTGCTGCTGGTGCGCTGCTCTTGTTGCCTTTGTTGTTCTTGTTTTTGTTCTTGCTCCTCTTTTATTTCGGCTTGACTTCGGCGGTGACAGCGAGCAATGAAAAGCAGCGAACGGCACTGCGAACGGTGGAAATGGAAACGCCATGAGCAGTGGCACACGACACGCCGCACACACACATTCACGCAGAGTTAAACGAACGCTGCCCAAAGCAAACACAGCGTACAGTGGAAATTGTATTGAAGGGATTTCACAACAAGGACGCTTAAATATAATTTTAGCTTGTTTTTTATACCTTCTATTTTGTGATGGGGTCAATTTTGTAATATACTACTTTAAACTTTCTTAGCTTGAGTGGGAGTCGTAGCTCCAATTTAGTTATCGATGTTCCACTGTATTTGCCTTTACCAACAGTGAAAATGCAGGGGGGGCAAGGACTGGCAGCGACGTCGCGGCGGATGAAGCAGAGGCAAAGACACCGAGAAGAGGAGTCAACTCACCTCTGCTTTAATTTTGTTTTCTTTTATTTTTCTTTTTGCGCTCATATATTGTGTTTTTATTCTTCTTGTTATATTTTTTTTCCACTGCTTGCCTGGCCCGCCCTGTCCGCATGTGCTATGCGTGTGTGTGTGTTGTGCTCACACAAACACGGCAAATACAATTCATCAGCGGCAGAGAAGTTGCGCTGCCCGTTGGCTCTTGTTCTTGTTGTTGCTATTATTTGTGATTGCTGTTGTTGTTGTTGGCTGGTTCTGCGCGCTTTTATTTGAGATTTGCGCACGAATGGCTTTTGCTTTTGCTCTTTGGAGTTGTATATAAATTGTGATGGGAGAATGTGAAGGCGGCGGAGGGGGAGGAGTGGGAGACGGCAGGCTAGTTTTGTACTAGAGTTCGCGGACACACTCACACACACGTACCTATGCATGTGGGTATACAAAAACATGGCAAAACCGAAGCAACAACAACAAATAAGAACCAAGAGGAGGGAAAAAACAAGGCAAGTGGATTTGGCTTTGGGATTTCGTTTTATACGCTCATTCCTCCTTTGCTCCCCTTTTTTGTGCCCGCATTTCTTCTCATTCCTCTTTCTTGGCATATTTCTCCCTCTCTCTCTTTCTGCCTCTGTTTCCCTTTTGCATGTTAATTGCCGCCGTTGAACTTTTAGAGTTTGGTTAACTTAATCAATTGGTTTTGGCCTTTTTTATTTGGTTTTCTGTGTTGTTTTCTTTGTTTGTTTTGCCGCTATTATTGTTGGCCAAATATTTAAAAATAGATTTTTGGTTAACTAGGTAATATGACTAGGGAATTATTACAGGAAATTATATTAATGATAGGGGCAAAGACTAAAGTTAGCACATTTAGTAAGGAAAATTCCCTTTAATTAATCTCTGATTTAGCCAATCAATTAAATAGGCTAAAAAGCTAATCAAAAGGGTTGTGTTGATTTTACGGCTCCTATATTTATTCTTAGGTTCACCTTTTCGTTTATTTGCCATTTCCCTCTTGCATTTCCGATTCCATTTCCCGAGGTGGGGGCGCCAGGCTGCCGCTAGATGTCGCCAGCGTCGCTGATTTCTACTGCCTCCTCCTTATATTCCTCCCCCTGCTTTTTCTTGTTCTTCTCGCTGCTTTTCCTCTGCCCGCAAATCGATTTCGATTGAGTTAGTGCCATCTCTGTCGCACACACACCCCCTCGACTTCCGTTGGAGTGTGTATGCGAGTGTGAGTGGCCTGGCAATAAGCTTAACATAAATCATTATAACGGCACACACAGGAGAGACCTTACATGCCGCCGCTGCCACCCCACTTCTAGCCCCTTTTTTTCCTGTGAGTGTGTGAGTTTTTGTGTATTTGTTCGATTTCGATTCGGCTGTCATTTCGTATGGAATTCTATATGGGAAAAACGCACAAAATCGATTTCTAATCGTGTAAATAAATGGCGACAAATGCTGCGAGGTCCCTCTTTCAGCACACCTCTCCTCTTTCCTGTTCCTCTTCCGCTCTTTCTACCTCTCTATAGCCCACCTTTTGCTCTTGGCAACAAAATTGAATAAGAAGAAGGGAGCGGGACAATTGTTTCAAAAAACCACACACGAAAAAAATTGTCAAAAAACAATATTAAAATATGTGTTAAAATACTACAATTTTAAATTTATATTGTGAATAATTTCAAAATTTTATTTTAGATGTTTTTTACTCCAATATTGGAATTTATAATAGAGATTATATTTTTATTTAATTTTTTCTCTCAGTTCCTCCGGCAGATTTCTGCTTGCACCTTGAGCTTTTTTTTTCGATATGGGATATATGGGAGAGTGAAAAGGCCAGGTACATATGTCACAATAGAACTGGAATCGAAACATTTAGATCCCAGAAGCAGGGTAAAAAGGAGGAGATGGAGGAGCAGAAGACGGCAGCAGTTTTTAAGTGCCAAGAGATTTGTGAGAACTACCAAAAAACAACAAAGCTAAAAAGTATAAAATCAAAGAAGCAAATTAGGATGATAACTTTATTGTGACCCAAATACAAATAAATTCTACGGAAACTCTAAACTCTACGGAAACCTGCAAGCTATAGTTATAAATATCTTAGTCTACACTTACTTTGAATTACCTAATAATATTATTAGGTAAAATAAACTTCAGAAACTCTAGTTTTATATTTCGCATTCATAGCTAACATATTAATCAGCATTATAATACCCTTTTTTGTTTAAAATCCAAAAGCAAATATCGGAAACAGGCTTGACACAGCATGTCAGTTGATTTTTGGGTGTATAGGGGATAAAAACAGGGTTATGTTACAAAATAGAGAGGAAAGAAGAGTAGGGCTTTTGGGAGGTAAAACAATTGCATTTTGTAAAGCACACAAACCTTACACATACATTTTATTTGTTTCTCCCTGGTCCTGCATTTCAGCCCAGTGGCCTCCTCGATTTCCAAACACAATTCCGGGCTACAGAGAGTGCCCAGCTAAAAGTGCAAAAAATCGCACGTCAGATCGCATGGTGAAAAGTAGGGGAAAAAGCTAGGGAAATTGGGGGATTTATGCTAGCTCCCTCTTTATCTCTTTGCCTCCCTGTCTCTCCTTCTATTTTTCTCAATTTTCCCCAACTCTTTTCCTCTTCTGTTCTCTGGGGAAACATCGATGGATAACACAAAATTGAATTTACTAAAAGTTGCTGTTGGTTGCTATACTCTTTTTTTAAGGAGGATTATATACTGGTAATCCTTGTTCAGGGATATTATTTATTTATCAGAAGAGTCTATGCAGACTTGTCCGTTTGTCCGCTAAACTGTTTCAATTAGGTTTATCTCCCAAGTCTTTAAAATTTCCTTGGTATATTCCTAGTTTCTTGGATCCGAAGAAAAATAATGAAACTATTATAGACTTTCAGAAACTTCGAACTTTGTCACTTGGAATTACATATATCAGTACTTTTCATAATTTAATGAGTATTTTTTGTAGTTGGTCTCCGACCTGAAAAACCAGTGCCCAACCATGACCTACGCTACCAGAGAAACCTTTAGCTTTAATTTCCATTACCATTACAAGAGTATAAAAACTTCGTTACAATGTAACTTCCTGTCTTGTTACTATTTGCACGCTTTGAAAATATTGGCAGTAATTGAATTTATGCCGTTTGTCCGTTGGTCGGCTGAACGGAGAGGGGAAAATTCAGGAAAATGTGTGGCAAAAGTAGAGGAAAGAGAAGAAGGAGGAACGGGTGGGTCGGGTAGGTCGTTCGATCGACACTATCGAAAATTGAAATGCTAAAGATGAGTAAGCCAGCCATGTATATTTCCGCCCCCACACCCCA